CCCGGTCTTGGCAGGCAGCGGGCATTCTCCTCACAGCACCAAGAGGCTGAACCAGGCAGTGCGAATCCAAAAAGAAGCGCGATGCCACCCAGCCCTCGGTCTGCCCGGTTTCGGCAGGGAGCAGGGCGCTCTCCTCACAGCGCCGAGAGGTTGAGCCGGGCGGTGTGAAGCATACCAGCTTTGCACCTTGCTGCCTGCTGAAACTGGGCAGGCTGGGGGCTAGGCAGCATTGCACTTCTCATCAGTTTCGCGCCACCCAGCTCAGCTCTTGGCGCTGTGAGGAGAGCGCCCTGCTGCCTGCTGAAACCGGGCAGGTTGGGGGCTGGGCGTCGTTGTGCTTCTTTTGGGTTTGCGCCACCTGGCTCAGCCTCTCGGTGCTGTGAGGAGAGCGCCCTACTGCCTGCCCAAACCCCTCTCCCGGAGCCCATCAAACCGGATATGTGAAGTAGGCGAGGGCCATTTGCTGGCCACTTCCAGGCAATGGTGCATTTCTTCATTCCTCACAAAGGGTGACACCTCCCCAGCATGCACCCAGGGGGCGGGACCGACACAGCAGGGGCTGGTTCCTCGCTGTTTCCAGACGGCCTTGTGGAGCTAAGACTGAATGCATTTCAGCATAGATGGCCACCACAAAATTGTACATTGGCTCCCGGCCGGCCTGGGCCAGGGCCAAGGCAGTGGGGGCCATTCCCTCACTGTTTCCAGGATGGCTTCGTGGACCACATGAAACCACTTCGCGGACTGCATCCGGCCCCCAGGCCTTATGTTTGACATGTCTGACCTAGAATTATGGCTCTCATCAGCCTTTGCCTCATTAACAATTTTTGATTTGATAGACAAATGTACCAACAAATGAGAGGAATACCTGTGGGCTCACCATTCTCAGGACTCATAGCAGAGACTCTATCTTCTGGGGAAAAAATAAAATTCACAAGGGAAGAAGAAAACAAGAAAAGAATATCCTTCCTGGATAATTATGGCAAATTAGAAATGCAAGTCCGTGGAAAAACAATCCACACTAACGAAGTGTTCCATTATCAAAGTATCAACTTCCCACAAGAAGAACATTATTTGGATGAATGTCTATCGGGATTCTCAGTCATCCAGGTCATGGTTCTCCCAAAGGTGCTTTTTCAAAGGCAACTGGGGTTTATTTTTCCTTGAAGACGTTTTACTTCTCATCCGACAAGCTTCTTCAGTTCTGATGAAAAGGGAAACATCCTCAAGGAAAAACAAATTCTAGTTCCTTTTTGAAAAAGCACCTTTGGGACATTATTGACATGAGCACAAATACACCGCAGCAATCCAGAAGAGCAGAAAAAAGAAGCAGATTGCCTTATATAGGGTTATGTATATGTATATGTTATACATAAATGTACACACATATTCCACAAAATGGAAGCCATTCAACTTGATAAAAAAATACCTGACCACTCAACCCACTACAGCACAACTAATACAAACTATGAGAATGATAACACTACCATGCATCAAACATCTCAGAAATAATCAACAGACCAGTATGACAGTGATGGCGAACCTTTTAGAGACCAAGTGCCCAAACTGCAACCCAAAACCCACTTATTTATTGCTGGGTGCCAAGTGGGCATGGCCCACTGGGTGGGCGTGGCTGTGGTCATGGTAGACTGGATGGGTGTGGCCAAGGTGGGCATGGTCACCTTGATGTTGCTCGTGGGGAGGGACACCTGTGGGGGCCGGGCAGGATTGGGGAGATCCAGGGGGTCTCTTGCAGATGGGGCAGTGGGCAGGAGGCTCGTCCTGCGGGGTGAGGCGAGGCAGGGGGGGTGCCATTGTCGCAGGGCAAGGTGAGGCAGGGGCTGGGGCGGCTGCTGCCTGACACCATTGGCCCCGGCACACAGAGGCCAGCGAGCGTTTGGGGGCCGACAGTGTCCGTCAGCAGCCACAGCCTATTAGCCCCTCAACCGGTGCACTCTGGGGCTCCGCAGCCTGCCCCCAGCAGTTCAGAGAAGCCAGCCAGACGACAGCTAAGGAGGCGATGCAGTGGGTCATGCCTGGGAAAAGGAGAGCATGCGAGGCCAGGAGGGATGGGACAGGGGGGAGGGAAACCAGCCATGCTGGAATGCATCCGGCCACATGGGACCTCGGTGAGTTAGTGGGCGGCTGGTTGAAGAGGGACAGTTGCCATCTCCGGGGCATGGTGCATGTGCCCACAGAGAGGGCTCTGAGTGCCACCTCTGGCATGCGTGCCAAAAGTTCGCCACCACGGTTCTAGACTAACTCAAATCAAAAATTCTAGGAAATTCCTGGAAGATTGGCATTCAGAAATAGATAGATAGATACATAGAAATAAAAATATATACAGCTTTCAAAAAAGACATTTAAAAAGTTGAGAAGGAAACACAAAGGCTAGAACATATCCCCTGGAGCAAGTAGCACCCTGCTAAGTAGGGATTAACACTAGACACTAGGATCACATCTCTGACAGGGAAGCTACTATTCTGTATGTAAACAGGGAGAAAACCCTACACTCCCTAGCACTGATAATGTTGCCTAGTTAGGTAATGAAATATCTGCAAAAAAACAACTAAGTTCGAAGAGCACCAAAAGATTCAACAGTTTTTTAATTTATCAAAATTCTTTATATTCTCCTTCACTCAAAAGATGCTCATCTAGCTCAAGACATGCTTTGAGTCTCTTGAGCCTATGACTTTTATACAGAGGTCCTTTAATTAAAGGATTTAAACAACAAACTAACAAACGGATGTACTTTCCCCTTATCTTTCAGATAAAAACCTGCTGGGGGGGGATGTCTGATAAATTCTTATCTGAAAGATAAAAGCATCCACATGGAAGGCCTTATCGCTTAATTAAAACCTAGTACAATGGGCAATGAAGTCAATAATTGATTATTCAAGAACATTTCAAAAAATATTCTGCTTTACTGTTGGATGAGGATTTCTGTTGGCTTCTCTCTACTGTACTGTGTGATATAATGATATAGATTATACCTATATTCTTTTGTGGAAATGAACTAATTAATTAAAAACAAGGTTACAACTTACTATTGGCTGATAAATTAATCTGATGGCATGGCACAATAATCAATAGGACCTAGGGATAGGATAGTCTGAATCTATTAACACAATCTAAGGAGGCTAGGACCTTCCTTTCCCTGTTACCATAGAACAGGGGTATCAAACTCACAACGTCACATGATGTGTCGCAACGTATTGCAACTTTTTTCCCATTGCCGGCAATGCGGTGGGCACGGTTTCGGCATGATGCATCTGGCCCACGGGCCGGCAGTTTAACACCCCTGCCATAGAAAGAATAACAACTAACTCTACAAATAGAGTTCATAACAGTGAGGCAAAACTAGAACTACAATTGCAGTTATTTAAAATCACAAATAATGCAATAATAGAAAACATGGGTATGATCAGGGCTGTTTTTTGCCATAGAACGCCCAGAACGGAGTTCCAGCACCTTTTTTGGATGGAACCTTGTAGGGTAGACAAGGCGAGTTACATGACGTGTGTGAGATCTGGCACCTTTTTTTTTTTTTAACAAAAAAAGCACTGGGTATGATTATCCCATTGCGAATTAGTAGATTCCACCACAGGTGAGAATGAATATGTGCATCGTAGTTGTCCTGTATAGAAGTCCTTCCTTTGCTTTCTCATGGATCAGAAAAATGAAGTTAATTAATTAATATGCACCCTTAATTACTTTTCTGAAACATTGGTGGCCTATGAACTTAGATCTCAAGTTTAATCTTCAATTAATTTCAATTGAAAGAAGCATAGCAACATAACTTGAGGTTCAGATGACTCAGAAAATTTATTTATAATCACATGAAGTCAGGGTTTAAGTATAGCTAATTAATAAATCACAATTAGCCACATTGCATAATATACTATGCTATAAACCATGCTATACAAAGCACCAAAATCAGCTTAGTTTGTAATGTGTATGGCAGGGGTCTTCAAACTTGGCCTTTTTATGACTTGTGGACTTCAACTCCCAGAATTCCTCAGCCAGTCCACAAGTCATAAAAGGGCCAAGTTTGAAGACCCCTGGTGTATGGCTACCAGGTTCTACAACTAGTGATACGTGACCTAGATATTCATCCCTTTCTTCAAAAATTCATTTCTATATCTATCATTTGCCTAACTTGTCTCTAATCATGAATTCAAGATATTGGTTTTACTTGCGCACCCATCATTTCATCAGCTAGGTTCTTCTAAATGGCTAAAACCGGTCTTTCAAAACTTGGCAACTTTGAGATGTTGGATTTAAAACTTTTAAGATGTGTTTTTAATTTTTATTATTGTTTTATAATTGTTGATCATCCAGTCACTTAGCCAGCATCTGACTGGGAAATTCTGGAAGAAATCCACACAGCTTAAAGTTGCCAAGGCTGAAAAACATTGGGCTAAATGGTAATGTGTTTAGTTAGAACATAGTTTTGTCTACTATGCAAAGCTGATAAAAGTTTGTGGCTGATAAAAGTTTTCTTTATCATTCAATGTGTGTTATGTTATGTGAATCCAGTTCATGGGGATTATTCAGCAACTATGAGCCATTTTTAAGCCGGACAATAATTTACCCAGGCTTCCTCATTAGAGAAAGCCGGCTACAGATAGACATAACTCCAAAATATTTCCTCTGCTCTATTGGCAGAAAAAAAATAAAAAAAAATCCCTCCAGTAGCTACGCATGCGCCCCATTTATTTGCCGGCTTCTTTGCCTATTTTCCTTAGGCGCATGCGCCTCGCAATCCAGTTTTTTTTTTTAAAGAAATCAATAAAATAAAGTCACTTGACCATAAAGTCAAGGGAAAGAGAGGCCAGCTTTCCTTAGTTTATGCTAGAAGCCGTGGCGTCACCTCAGAGCCCTCCCTTTTCCCCCTCCCCCTTCCTTTTCCCCTCGTCTTGTTTCCAGTGCAGCAGAGCGGCCAAAGCCACCGAGTCCGCCATCTTCCGCTCCGGGTACGGAACAGGCGGTCTTCCAGTATCCCAGATTACAACGCGGCGCTTCTAGCGGCGCTCTTGGTCTGCCTCCTCTGCGCTTCCTTCATCAGCCGGCCGCCATGTTATTCTAGTTTTACTCTCCGCGGCTGGTCCTGGGCGAGAGCGGCTCCCGGCGTCGGGAGAGGCAGGAGGGTTGCGGGCTTTTCGCACCGCGACCTGGCAAGATCCGACGCCATGGCAGCCGCCTTGGGAGGAGCAGGAGCAGGTGCGGTATCCCTTCTCGTCCTCCCGAGGGCAAGGGGGGGGGGATGCGCGGCTGACCCGCGGGGAAAGCCGCAGGCCCAGGACGGGTATGGGGCGCCTCAGGGAGAGCTGGGAGAAGCGGCTGATCTCCTGGGTGGCAGGAGAAGAAATGGACCTGTTTGCGCCGCCTGAGTGTGTGTTTACTCGCGAGAAGCCTCGCTGGGCTAGACAGGCACGTCAGGCTTGTCTGAAGGGTTGGGTGGGGAAGGTTTGGATCGAGGGGCGCCTGAGTAGGATTTTCAGGGGTTTGGGGTGCTCCGTCGAGAGAGAAAGCGGGGAGAATAAAGGGGTGCTTGGAAGTATTGTTTCTTGAGAGCAATAAAGGAGAACATTTGCAGCTCAGAGTTGAAATGAGAGGGTCCTTGGTGCTCTCTGAGCTGGCTTGTTTTCTTGCAGACGTTTCATTACCCAAAATAGGTAACGTCATCACTGCTAATAAGGACTTTATTGGCAATGGAAAGGAAAAGATATCACCAGTCCAGTGGCAATTTAAGGGCCTAGGATTGGGGAGGGGGGAGGATCTTTGGGGATTATAAAAGCAAGATCAAAAGCACAAGACATCGGGTAGAATAAGGTTTTTAGGGAGGGGGATGTTATTGTGGCCCGTTTTTTATTTCCTATTTCCTTCCATTTGAAGTTGACCTTTTGTAGGGTTCGGTTTGTTCTTATGTTTTTATTAGATACATACAGATGTAATGGTTGAGAGTTGTGTATTCTATTGCTGCAAAGGGCCTTAATTAGTAAAGGAGTGTAAATTATCAATCTGTCTTTATTGAAGGAGTTATTTCAGTCCTGAATTACATTAAGTTCTTATATTTTGAAAAAGGTATATAAGTTGAATTTATATTGTGCTTATTGCTTGCTTTTAAAATACTTACATTCAGCCCACACTTTTTATGTTTGATCTGTCTTGGCTTGGTTCTGGATATATTCCTTACATGAGTGTATCCTTGTGTCTTAAATAGTTAATGTCATGAATAAAAAAGCTTCTTATATATTAAGTTTGAATTTCTCATATACTTTCTTGGATGTTTCTCTTCTGTGTAGTTTTGTAAGTCAAAATTTCTTTTGATACTTTTGGTCCCAGACAAACGTAATAATTCAATGTTTTTGTAATGTTATCAAGATTTAAATAACTTGCTAGTTGTGTGATTTCATTACTTACAGTAAATATGAAATTTTCAAACTTTTGTGTGGTAACAAAAGTGAAAAAATAAATTCAGATCAAACATTTTGTGTCTATAGGTGGTGCTCGATTTACAACAGTTCATTTAGTGACTGCACAAAGTTACAGCAGCTCTGAAAAAGGTGACTTATGATCATTTTTCACATTTATGACTGCAGCAGCATCCCCATGGTCATGTGACTTACTTTCAGATGCTTGGTAACTGATTCACATGATGGGTGCAGTGTCCCAAAGTCATGTGATCACCTTTTGCAACCTTTTGACAAAGTGAATGGGGAAGCCAGATTCACTTAACAACTATATTACTAATTTAAGAATTGCAGTGATTCACTTAACAAATAGTGTGAGAAAAAATGTAAAGTGAGGCAAAATTCACTTAACAAATTTCTCACTTAGCAACTTAGATTAAACAGTTGTGGCTCAATGTTTATAGTAAGTTGAGGACTACCTGTATTTACAAGCAAGACTGATCATGTGGGAAGAGCCACAGTGATAGAATGGTTAAAATCTTGGGCCTGAATCTTGGTTCAAATTTGCTGCAAAGTTTGTTTACTCATCTTGGATTGCCTCTGTATCAGTCAGTATAGCCTTCTTTTCAGTGCATTGTTAATAAAGCATATAAGGTAGGGGTGATCTGAGCTTATCTGAGCTTATACAGAATCAATACAATAGCTATAATAAATTGAATGAAAACAAAAAGTAAAACAGGGTATCCTGCAGAGAAAATGTGCTTTCACTATAGAGCTTTATTTGTATATTTTACTATTTCCTAATTATTGACATTATAATCTAATGTCTCAGTCTTTGTGACAGAGTCTTGTTTTACCCCAGGGGTTTCAAACTGGTGACCTGCGGCCCGGATGCGTCATGCGCAGGCCACGCCCACTCCAAATGAGCCGAGGTGGCGCAGCAGTTAGAGTGCAGTACTGCAGGCCACTTTAGCTGACTGTGTTCAGCAGGTCAGCGGTTCAAATCTCACCGGCTCAAAGTTGACTCAGCCTTCCATCCTTCCGAAGTAGGTAAAATGAGGACCCAGATTGTTGGGGGCAATGTATATATATATATATATACATTGCTTACTGGTGTACACTGCTTAGAGAGTGCTTGCACTTAAAGCGGTATATAAGTCTCATAAATAAATAAATAAATCTGCAAAGGCAAAAAACCGTGATGATATATCACAATATGTCATGTGACACGATCGAGTTTGACACCTGTGATTTACCTGGATTTTATATATTCAAATTGCTAGGCTATTTTGTTTGCTTAACCTTTACATCTCAGTTAAACAATTGGAGATTTTGGAATGGGAAGAGTAGATATATTTTTGGAAAGGAACTTTGAATTCCCCTCATCTTTATACCTCATCTCGATAAACATTCATGCCATTATTTTTTGTTTCCCATTATGAATAAAAAGAAGGAAGAGGATTGGTTTTGAAGAGGGCTGTCCTATAATAAAGATTTTTACTCAAGTTTTTATTTAGTTATAACTTATTTACGTCCCAATACAATATATACAGATTGTTAACTGTCAGCTGCCACCTTATCCTTGCTTGTGGTTTGCTGATATGAGATGACAGTCTGCCATGGATTATGGAGAAGGGGGACAAGGGAGGCATGGTTGGGAAAGAAAAACAAGGTGCTGTGCTGTCTCAAGAAGCTGCTTCAAAGTCTGCCCACCTGGAAGAAGGAGGGAGTGGCATACCAGAACTTGAACTGACCGTTAGGAAAACAGCTTTTTAGATTTTAATTGGTTACTTTGAGGTGGGAAATGAAAGACGGGAAAGTACAAAGTAGGGATTTTGGTGTGCAAATCTTAGTTCTGGCCGTGCATTACTGCAGTATACTTGATCTCTAATAAAAATATACTTTTTTCAGCAAATGAAGCCAAAGATTGTTTTCTACTGAGAGGTTTAAGTTTGTGGCAGGTCTGACACTACAAGTATAAATTAGAACAAAAATAACATTAAATTGCATACTAAAATAGTCACAATATTTAAAAAAATCTATAAACAACTACACTACCTAGAGCAGAGGTAGGCAACCTTGGCTCTTTTATGATTCGTGAAATTCTGGGAGTTGAAGTCCACGAGTCATAAAAGAGCCAAGGTTGCCTACCCCTGACCTAGAGTTGACATTTTAGTAGCCAAGACTTAAGGGAGGAAAGTATCAGAATACATGCTATAAGTGCTATGCTATGTATCCACAGCTAGGCTTGGATTGTTAGATTTTACATCTTCCTTTTTAAGTTTAAAATATAATTACTGCCTATATAATTATCTACTTGAAGAATTAATATAATATATAGAATTATATAGATGCTATATGATTCTGTAGATTCTATACTTATAGAATATACTACTTTATTTGTCCAAGTATGATTAGACACAAGGAATTTGTTTAAGTGCAGAAGCTCTCAGTGTACATGCAAAACAACAGAGTAATAATCATAATGATACCACTAAGAGGAGGTAGTAGAGAAAATGAGAAGGATAATAATAATACAGCCATAAATATAGTTAGGCATAAGACAGCACTTATGTTCACAATTTGTATTCTAAATAGATAAGATATCTATTTTAATAGACATATAGAAAACTTTTTATAAAACTTTGGTAAAATATCTGGTGCTTTTCTAGTTATGTATTGTACAAGGAAGAAAGGAGACATATACTTAGAAAGACTAATCTGAAAAGAGTTCCATATATTTTTAGATGGCTGTTCTGGGCTGATGGTTTTGAGGTTTCCAAATGTGCCTAATAAAATAAGAACCAAATGCCAGGTATACTTGCTACTGATGGAAGAGCAAGCATCTGGTTGATTCCCTAGGGAAGGTTTTTAGTCCATATGTCAGGTATACTATTAAGTTTAATTCTGTTATATAAATGTTAAAATATTGCTTGAACTTGAAAGACCTAGTAGTCTAAAACCACTTCCTAATTAATTAATCCTAATTCTCAGTTGATATAAGATACTTAGGGTACTTGTTATAAGATACAACACTGTATCGCAGATTGTCTAGTGGTAAAGTGAGAGAGGATATTGGAAACTCACTATTCTGTCTGCAAATATCTATTTCAAGTTTCTTGCAATTTGAATTGTTTTTATCATACTTGACTTGGCTAGTTTTATTCCTTCTTTGCATTTTTATGTCCATATTTGAGCCCTAAAAATGCAGATATAAAACTGTTTCTTCCCAGTATGATGAAAAATCTTTTAGAGAACTATTCCAGTATATATTAATGGAAAATCTGGAAATCTAGTGTTGTTAATGCAGGAGATACTTGGATGATGGAAATCATTAGATATTAGACTATGATCTCCTTACATGCTGCTAACTACAGTGTTGTTTTGTGCATTTAATAAAGAGCTTTATTATCAGGTATCCTCTCCCTTTCAAACAAATTGTGCCACTTATTTTTTTTTTTTAGTTTGAACTAAACAAATAGTTGTTTGACTTCGATATATTGAGTTTGAATATTTGGTAGTGTAGTAAATTGTATTTTAGAGAACTTTTACCAAGTGAAGTAGAATACAAGTTATTTAAAGTACATATGAACTGCTAAACCTAGAAAGTCATTTAAAATGAGTATATTATGTGTCCAGGGGTCCCCAAACCCTGGTCCATGGACCAGTACCGGACCGCAGTATACCAGCAACCGATCCATACAAACAAGCAAAGCCTCATCCGCAGGATGCAGGCAGCACACAAAACCACATCCCCTCTAGTCCGTGGAAAAACCTGTCTACACAGAACTGGTCCCTGGTGCCCAAAAGGTTGGGGACCTCTGTTACAACAGATCAAATGTTGATTCGGTCCAGCATCTTTTTTCCCCCCACAGTGGCTAGCCATCTATGTCTGAGAGGTCCAAAAGCAGAATTTGAGGACAAATTAATCTCTTTGGTTTATATTCTTCAGCAACTAATACTTACAATAATATTGTGTTCAAAACTGCTGATGATATATACCATCAGGCTTAATAGCCATTAATAGTTTTATTCTACATCAATTTTTCCAACTTGTTTTACATGTTTGTGGTATTGTCCCAGCTTAAGGAAGTACGTTCTGCAATTAAACACAAAGTTTCCTTTTGCCTATTGACAGTGTACCACATTCAGTTCTTTTCAGAATCTTAGAGGTTTCAATGTAAAGGAGAACAGAACTCTTTATTCTATTCATTTTCTTTTATTAAATGATGAGAATTGTAGTTCAGCATATGTGGAGGACATCACATTAAACAAAACTGGCATGTTATATTCTTACCTTCCTTTCTCTTTTTGAAAGTATGGAACGGAAACATTGTTAAGAGTCTTCATAAATGCTTAAATCTATTGGTTAACTATATATTCCAATGCCCTATTATAGAAGACATTGCATAAATTCCATGTGCATAAAATGAGTAATACAAGAAATGACCTGAATAGTGTGTAACTTAGATTTCTATATACACTTTTATTTCACATAATTTCTATGCCACTCATTTCATTATTGTGCAGCCTATAGAATTAAATCAACCTTTTTTATACCCGCACCCCTAGAAGGCTTCTGATATATTCTCGCACCCCTTACAAAAGTTCAAAATAACAGCATCAAATTATGTATACCCGCTATAATTTTGAAAACCCAAGTTTTCACACCTCCTGGAATATTGTCTCGCACCCCTGGTTGGGAACTCCTGCACTAAATAATAATTACCTGATAATATAGGTAATTCTTATTACCTTTCCTTGAAAGCCAAAGTATGATATTCTCCTACTTTTGGTATCCAGGAAGGAGCTGTTCTAATGTTGGGGAGACATGACAAAGAATTAAAAAAAAAACTTGTTTTGTTTTGCCTTGGTGGTGAGAGGTAGTTTTATTAATGACCAGCATCATCACCTCAACAGAATGCACAGAATTGCATTCAGACGTGTACTGATACCTAGTGCTGCTCCTGTAAATTGGAAAACATTTTCTTAATCTCACATTGGCCCCATAAACATCTGGGCTGCTACAATTTGAATCAGTTGCAATTTCTGAGTAGATTTTATAGGAACTAATACATTTTGTAATGAGTGATAGCAGCATATCCTGTTTCAGAAACTGTTGCTGGGCAAAGGGTCTTCTGGCTGTGGCCGCCTCCACTAGCTCTCCAATTGGAGTTATGAATCCAGAAGACAAACCTACCCAGATCTTCCAAAGATTGTAACTGCATCTCTGTCGCGGCCTAAGGATGGATTTATCTTGAATTCAAGTGACTTCTAGATAAACAAACTCTACATCTTGCTGAGATTTAATTTGGATGGTAGTATAAAAGATATTTTTGAATAATAGTCAAATAACACTTGTTGAAGTTTTTTAGTGAAGATCATCTAGATCAGGGCTTTTCAACCTTTTCACCCATTGTACCACTTTTTTTTTGTTGTTGTTAATTGCGAAGTTGTGTCTGACCCATCGCGACCCCATGGACAACGTTCCTCCAGGTCTTCCTGTCCTCTACCATCTTCTGGAGTCCATTTAAGTTCACACCTACTGCTTCAGTCTATGGAGAAAAAATCTTTACAGCATCGGACTTTCCTTTCACCACCAGATATATCCACAGTTGAGCGTCCTTTCGGCTTTGGCCCAGTCGCTTCATTCTTTCTGGCGCTACTAGTACTAGCCCTCTGCTCTTCCCCAGTAGCATATTGGACACCTTCCGACCTGAGGGGCTCATCTTCCAGTGTCATATCTTTTTGCCTTTTAGTACTGTCCATGGGGTTTTCATGGCAAAGATACTGGAGTGGTTTGCCATTTCCTTCTCCAGTGGATCACATTTTGTCAGAACTCTCTGCTATGACCTGTCCGTCTTGGGTGGCCCTGCACGGCATAGCTTATAGCTTCATTGAATTACGCAAGCCCCTTCGCCACGACAAGGCAGTAATCCATAAAGGGGGTACCACTTTTAGGATATGGCAATATCTGAGTACCACCAGTTGCCTAGCAAGGTGTCAAAAACTTGATGACCCACCCCCCCAAAAAGGAAAAAAGTGATAAAAGTACAGGTAGTTCTCGACTTACAACAGTTCGCTTAGTGACTGTTTGAAATTATAACGGCACCGAAAAAAGTGACCTATGACCATTTTTCACACTTATGACCGTTTCAGCATTCCCAGGGTCATATGATTTACATCTGGATGCTTGACAACTGATTCATATTTTTGATGGCTACAGTATCTCAAGATCATGTGATCCCCTTTTGCAACCTTTTGACAAGCAAAGTCAATGGGGAAACAAGATTCACTTAACAACCTTTTATATCGGGTGTCAAACTCAATTTCATTGAGGGCCACATTAACATTGTGGTTACCATCGGGGGGTGGCCTTCCTTCCTTTTCCCCTTCCTGCCTGCCTCTCTCCTTCTCCTTCCCATCTCCTTCTTCCTTCCGGCGCTGATCCTGGCTCTTCTGCTGAGCCCTGACAGCTGATCAGCGCTTCTGCAGGGGTGTCAGGGCTCAGCAGAAGCGCCAGGATCAGTGCCAGGCTTCACCTGATCGGCGCTTCTGAGGACCTAAGCAGAAGTGCCAGGATCAGCACTAGGCTCTACCTGATTGGTGCTTCTGCAGGGCACTCCCAGAAGCACTGATCAGCTGGATGAGTTCCCAACCAGGAGTGCTTGCACCCGCTGGGGGTGCGAGACTATTCCAGGGGGTGCAAAAACCTGGGTTTAGAAATTTCAAAATGATAGTGTATATCCATAATTCGTTGCCGTTATTTTGAACTTTTCTAAGGGAGTGTGAGAATATATCAGAAGTGTTCTAGGGGTGCGGGGTGTAGAAAGGGTTGGGAGCCGCTGATCTAGATAATATATGTACCGTAAATGCCGGCGTATAAGACGACTTCCGCGAGCACTGAAATCGGCGCCAAAGACGGGGATCGTCTTATACGCCGAGTCGTCTTATACGCCGGAAATACTGGTAGTTTCTGGCGTATAAGACGACGTTCTGGGAATGTGGCCCGGCTATAAAGACGGGGGTCGTCTTATACGCCGGGTCGCCTAATACGCCGGCATATACGGTACTAGAAAATACTGTTTGAAACTATATTGTGAATGCCTGCTGTTGCTACTTAATTAATCCAGAGCTGCCAATAGATTCTAGAATTTTAGAAAAGAATTCCTAAATGAGGGGTAAGCACCCTAGATTGTTTTGGACTACGTTCATGTAATTTCTAATAATTGGCTTTGTGGGATGGGCTCTACAGTCAGATTATCCAGATGAAACAAATTATTTCTCTTCCCCTCAAGAGTCAGATCTGGTCTGGAGTTACTGGACAGTCAGAGCCTTGTAAGAATTACTTCACCTTATATTTTTCCACATTTTGTGTTCATTTCTATTAGTGCAGCTTCCTTACAAAAGCATGGATATATTTATGATGGTGCTCAACAGTATTTCTTGCTAAAAATATAACTAAAAGCGATTTTAAAGTCGTTCTCCTACAAGGACAGTGCAGAAACCCAGCATTGTTGATTTTATTATTTAATTTATTAAATTTATATGTTGCCTAACTCCCCTATCGGGCGACTCTAACATGATTCTTCAAAGTAATATCAGTATTGCTGTCTGAGAATCCAAGCATTTGTTTCATATTGTGCAAGTTATTAAATGTCTTTTGTTTATAGAGGATGACTTTGATCATCATAAACCTGGTGCAGAAAGGTCTTGGAGAAGGAGAACTGGAGATGATGATTGGGATAGGTAAGCCTCTTTTTTTGCTTTTAAGTAAAGATGTTTTCTGGTATATGTCATTTGTTTCTCTGTTCCACAGTTTAATTTACAGGATTTTGAAAATGTTCAAATACAAACATTATTAATGAGTTTATCTGCCATGGGCATAACTAACTGTCACTGAGTTGAAGAGATATGTATGCCTGCTATGAATAACAGACAGTGAGCAGGGGCCCACTTTCTTTAACCAGAATTGCATTTTGCTGTGGAATACATGGGGGGAATTGATGGACCTAACAAAAACGAGCAAGTTATTACATTTTTTTCCAATCTATCTAAATATGTGCCTATTTATACCTGGTTATATATAGCTCTTCATACTTGTATTTGTAACATGTGTTCACCAGCACCAATGAATATTGTTTTTAAAGTGAGTTTGTCTGTTGGAATCAGTGGTTAAAGAAAGTATGGACCAAATGCGGGAGCTGAGCAGATCTTACCTACGTTATGATGTTATCTTTCCCCCAATTTAGAGCCTGAAGATACGAACAAGTATAGTATTTACAGGTAGTCCTTGACTTATAACTATTCATTTTAAATTTACAACAGCACTGAAAAAAGAGACGATTGGCCCTCACATTTATGACCGTGGCATTATCCCCATGGCTGTGTGATCAAAATTTAGGTGCTTAGCAACCAGCATGTATTTCCAGTGGTTGCTGCATTCGGGGTCATGTGATCATCATTTGTGACTTTCCTAGTCAACTTTTGACAAAGACAATAGAGGAGGCTGGATTTTCTTAATGACTGCATGATTTACTTAACAGCTGCAGTGATTTGATGATAACAATCATCTCAAAAAGATAAAATTGGGCATGACTCACTTAACATCTTGCTTAGCAACAGAAAGTCTGGTCCCAATTAGGACCATAAGTTGAGGACTACCTGTATTTATTTAGGTATTAAATTTCTATGCTGCCCATCTCACTATTAAGCAAATCTGGATGGTTTACAACAGAGGTCCCCAACCTTTTGGGCACCAGGGACCAGTTCTGTGGGGAGAGGTTTTCCCGCGGACCGGAGGGTGTGGTTTTGTGCGCTGCCTCCATCTCACGCTCTGGGCTTTGCTGTTTGTGCGGACCGGTTGCTGGCATGCCATGGCCCAGTACTGGTCCAAGGAACGAGGGTTGGTGACCCCTGGTTTACAATGTTATAAATAACAGTATAAACCAGTTATAAAGTTAAAATATCAAAATTAAGAACAAACAGGGTAAAAAAGACCAATATATAAACTGGGAGCAGTTGAGTCTATTAGCCATCTCCAGAATGGGATACCCCCATCAGGGCCCCTAGCCAATTGGCAGAGGTTTTCAGGCCCTTTTGGAAGGTCAAGAAGCAGAGGGCAGATTTTACTTTGTGAGGCACGATATTCCAGAGGTGGGAGCCATAGCAGAAATATAATGATGATAATGATAATGATGATGATGATGAAAATCTTAAAGTCCAAACTCAATGGGGGAAATACCATAAAGGCAATCAACACCTGGGCAATTCCAGTCATTAGGTACACAGCTGGAATAGTGGACTGGACTCAAGCAGAACTAAAGCAATGGATAGGAAGACCAGAAAAATAATGACAATGAATCATGCCCTTCTTCCACGCAGTGACATTGACAGACTTTATCTACCAAGGCAAATAGGTGGGCGTGGAATGCTACAAGTACATCAGATGGTTGAAGAAGAAAAAATGGCTTTGGAAGAATATCTGAAGAACAATGATGAAGATGCACTGAAATTAGTATATCAGGAAGGCTTACTGACTACTGGAGAGACCAAACTGGCCTACAAGAAAGACCAAATGAAGAACAGAATAGAGGCATGGGAAGACAAAGCACTACATGGCCAATAAGTGAAAAAAATAGCTAGGAAAGCAGATAATAATAAGACCTGGCAATGGCTAAGAGCAGGAAAATTGAAGAAAGAGACCGAGGAACTAATTCTGGCTGCACAAGACCAAGCCTTAAGGACAAATGCATACAAAGTCAAAATTGAGAAGACAGCAATAGACAGTAAGTGCTGCCTATGCAAAGAAGCTGAAGAAACAGTGGACCACCTGGTAAGCTGTTGCAAGAAGATTGCACAGACTGACTACAAGCAGCGGCATGACAAAGTAGCAACAATGGTGCATTGGAAGATCTGCAAAAAATATCATTTGCCTGTAAGCAAAAACTGGTGGGATCATAAAATAGAGAAAGTCATAGAAAATGATAAAATTAAACTGCTCTGGGACTTCAGAATTCAAACAGACAAGCACCTGCAACATAACACCCCAGACTTAACAATTGTCGATAAGAAAGACAAAAAAGTCTGGATAGTGGACGTGGCAGTGCCTGGAGACAGCAGAATAGACGAGAAAGAACTGGAGAAGATAACAAAATACAAAGACCTACAAATAGAAATAGAAAGACTGTGGCAAAAGCAAGCAAGGGTAGTACCAACAGTCATAGGCTCCTTGGGTGCAATCCCAAAACAACTGGAGCATCACTTGAATACCATTGGCATTGACAAATTTGCTATTAGTCAATTGCAAAAGGCGGCCTTACTAGGAACTGCTTCCATCCTGTGACGATACCTGTAATACCATCAAACATCCACATCTGCCTAGCCCAGATCCTGGGTAAGGACTCGATAGGTAGACAAAATGCCAAATCCAGTCTGAACATCTGGCTGACTGTGCAATGATCAATAATAATAATAATAATAATAATAATAATAATAATAATAATAATAATATAAAAAAAGTTGGAAGGGACCTTGGAGGTCATCAAGTCCAACCCCTTGCTCAGGCAGGTAACCCTATACATTTCGGACAAATAGCTATCCAGTTTCTTCTTAAAAACTTCTAGTGTTGGAGCATTTACCGCTTCTGGAGGCACTGATTAATTGTTCTAACTGTCAGGAAGTTTCTCCTTAGTTCTAGGTTGCTTCTCTCCTTGATTAGTTTCCATCCGTTCCTTCTTGTCCTGCCTTCAGGCACCTTGGAAAATAGCTTGACTCCCTCTTCTCTGTGGCAGCCCCTGTATATATTAATATATTAATGTATATTAAAACCTGTATTTAATGGACCTTTATTTAGTGGAGATACCATCAAAGCTGACACCAACAGAGCATAGAAAAAAACTTTAAAAAGTAGTGCAAGATCGGAAGAAGTGGTGAGACTTGGCCTATAGAAATGGATGTGACTGAAGGGATAGCATCTTCAATTTCGTGGATAAATCGTAAACAAAATTGGAAGTTTTGACAAAGTTGGTTTAGCAGATTTGGCTGATGTTCTGGGAAGGTTTCGGGAAGATCGCTGGGATGGGAAAGCCAATGGCCTATGTGACAGGATGGAGAAGACCAGGGGCTCAATGAGGAAGGGGCTTATTGCATACTTTGAATCTATTTCCTTGTAGTTGGGCTTTTACTGTAAGACTGGGCCATGCCGAAGAAGGCAGACGTATCTTTGGCTATGGGTGGTTGTAGAAAAGCAGCCCTCTGGAAACATATTATTTCCCCTGCAGCAAGTGGTGGAACTGGAAAGAAGAATATTAAAAGAAAGGGACACTTTTGTGTGTACACAAAAAAACACTTTTCAGATTTAACAGGCCTTTAGATTTACTAAACACTTGCCTTCCCTCCCTTTGTTAAAATCAAGATTTTACTATAGCATAATATAATGTTCAGCAACACTTGCTTTTTCAACTGGTTTTCAGCCAGCTTCTATATATACACCCACTGGAATCAAATAATTCTATTGAGAAATTGCATAACTTAAACATAGCTAGGAATTTATCTCTTAACTTTGTTACATTCTTCCTTATGTTCGAATATGGATTTGTCATTGCTCTTCACTTAGTGATAGCAGGGATGAACAATACTCTTCTCTGCGCTTTTTTTTTTTTTTTAACGAGCTACTTCAAACTTTGTGAGCTTTTTCTATATAGAAAAGGTTCAATCAGAGAAAAGCATTGACTTGTGCCATGCGCTTTTGGATAGGGGAGACTTTAAGTCTCCCTCACCTCAGTGCCATTTTTAAATTAGATTATGATTACCCTACATTTTAGAATAATAGGTGTAATAAGCATCCCAATGTAACGTATTTACAGCATATTTTCTGTTGCTTACCTTGCTCTGGTTTTATGCTGGTTTGTGACATCAGAAACAGAGGACAATATTTTAAAGCATCCTTTCCCAATATGATATTCTCCAGATGTTTTGGGTGTATAGTTCCAAGAAATGTTGATAGGCAGTGAGAAATCCAGCCCTTGGCTGCTCTCCTATGGCATATCTCAGGACCTGATACTCTCTTTACTCCTACTCAATATCTACCAAAAGCCGCTGGGTGAGATCATCCATAACATGAAATATCAATATGCTGATGATATGCAATTTAACATCTCCACATAACCTGAGTGATGCTGTGCTCCCATAGTGCCTGGAGGCATTAGGGTTCTGGAAGGGGACAACAGATTCAACTTAACTCTGGCAAGACTGAGTGGCTTTGTCTGCATGGAAGATTCAGGTCTTAGACACTTTTAGTTCTGGACTGGGTTGCACTGCCCTGTTCAGATCCATTTTGCAACTTGGGGGACTTGTGACTTCTGCTCGAAGGTCAGATGGCAGTCATGTCTAGGAGAGCCATTGCACAGCTTCAATTAGTGCACCAGCTGCAGCCTTTCCTGGATCAGACTGTCAAGCACAGGAAATCAGGAGTCCAAATGAGTAGAGGCTTATTGTGTGCTAATGCTCTCTACAAGAATCTGAACTACTGTCAAAGCAAATTAGCAGTAGATAAGAATTAACAGAAGTCAAACTGGGCTGATTTTAGATCTCTTGTGGGCAAGAAGGGAGTTGCGACTGATGATACATTTGACTCTTCCCTCAAGTTCAGCACAGACTCTCTGTGCTTGGTCATTCTTGTCTGAACTACTGCAATGCACTTTACGTGGGGCCATCCTTGGAATGCATTTGGAAGATTCAGCTGGTACAAAATGTGGCAACACAGGCAGTCTTTGGGAGCCATAGAATGACCATTGTTACAGCAATGCTTCACAAGCCTCACTGGCTGCTAGTTTGCTTCCCAGTGCAGCTCAAGATTTTGGATATGACCTTTAAAGCTCTACAAGGCATGGGTTCACATTTCTTGAAGAACCATGCCATGCTGCTCAGACAAGCCCATCCTACAGGGTACTGGCTGAGAAGGTCTGCTTGTGCTGGCAGGAGAAGAGCCTTTTATGCTGTAGTGTTGACCCTCTGGAATATCCTGCTCCCCCCCAGGGTAAGATTCCCCCCCCCAAATCCTTTCACAAGGGCCTGAAGATGTGGCTTTGCTGGTTGAGTTGAGGACCAGATGGGAGAGTACACCAGTGATGGTGGTTGCTGATCCCCCTCTCCCCTCCACTTCTTCCTTCACCCGCCCCCCACTCATCTTTTTAATATTGTATTTTTGTACTGTTGTACTTTCGTTGTTTACATTTACTATTTTATTCCTTTACTATTGTTAGTTTTGCATTTTAAATCACTCTCTGTTTTATTGTTGTAAGTAACTTAGTGTAGCCCCATGGTGAAGATGGATGGCAAATAAATTCAAAAAAATAAAATGAAATGAAATGAAGTATAATAAATATGTATATACGTATGGGTACAACTATTACAACCATTCATTTAGTGACAGCTTAGAGTTACAACAGCACTGAAAAAAGTGACTTATGCTTGTTTTTCACACTTACGAATGCTGCAGCGTGCCTATGGTCATGTGATCAAAATTTGGATGTTTGGCAACTGGTTCATATTTGTGATGGTTCCAGTGTCTGGGGGTCATGTAGTCCCCTTTTGGGACCTTCCAACAATTCACAAGCAAAGTCAGTGGGGAAGTCAGGTTAACAGCTGTGTTACTAATAACAGCAGTGATTCACTTAACAAATGTGGCAAGAAAGATCATAAAACAGGGCAAAACCCACTTCACAAATGTCTTGTTTAGCAACATAAATTGCGATAATAAATCAAGGACTACCTACAGTATATCAGTAAACATGGCTTCAAATTCTGAGAATTGTAATCCTTACACATCTGGATGGCATCAAGTTGCCTTAGTGATTAATAAAAGTATATGTTTAGGCCACATCCATGGGTGCTGATTGCTCTCTTAGAACTCAGAAGTAAGGAGCAATAGAACCTGATGCCAGTCATTTTGTAGATTACACTCTGCAATTTTATTGACTGCTCCCAATGGTTTTATTTAGCTGTTGAACAGATAGGAGAGAGGCAAACCCTTTCACTTAAGAATACATTTGCTACTTTCCCATACCGGACTTTTTATTACTTCCTTGCCACCTTCACTGACCAAGTAGGACAAAGATGTAATCCATGCGTGGCAGAATTAATATCAAAGAGGATCATGTCTGTTTCATCAGAATCCATAGATTCCTACAATCCCAAATAAGTCATCTCAGTTTGATTTATTTGTGCTGCTTATCTGAAAGCAGTAATTCAGGGCAGCATATAAATTACAACAACAGTTCTTCGGTGGTCCAAATGTCCAAGGTTAAGATAGTAATTCCAATCTGTGTAAAAAACAAATTTAATCCATGGAGCTCATAGTGACCCAAACGCCTGGAGAACAGCTGGGTCCTCAGAGATTTACAAAGGTTAAATTCTTCATGGTGGTCCAGCTAAGAATCTTTTGGTTATCAGTTTTCTTTATAAGGAACTGAGTAACTATAAACAGTGCTGCTGGGTGGTTTTCAATGGAGGAAATAAGCGCAGAGAAGTGGGCTTGTTTTACTTAGCATCACAGCATAGGATGAACATTGAGGTTGTGCCTGTGTTTGATCAATTCATTCTTCATTTTTACCAGGGTTGTTTTAGGAGTCTCTTCTCTCATGCTCTAATGGCTGCTCTATCCCCCAGTCCCAAAGGTGCTTTTTCAGGAGGCAACTGGACTTCCTTGTTTTTCTTTGAAGATGTTTCGCTTCTCATCCAAGAAGCTTCTTCAGCTCAGAAGAAGAGCTGAAGAAGTCACGTTCCACCGCCAGCCCCAGAAGTGCTTTTTCAAGAGGCAACTGGACTTCCTTGTTTTTCTTTGAAGACGTTTCGCTTCTCCTTCAAGCAGCTTCTTCAGCTTCTGAGCTGAAGAAGCTTCTTGGATGAGAAGCGAAACGTCTTCAAAGAAAAACAAGGAAGTCCAGTTGCCTTTTGGAAAAGCACTTTTGGGACAACCGTGACCTGGATGACTGAGAATCTCCATAGACATCCACCCCGGTCATGTGATCGCATTTCAGGCACATGGGAACTGGCTTGCATTTACGGCCATTTGCAGTGTCCTGCAGTCACCTCACTGTTTTGCTTTTTGTTTTGCCAAAATATGGCTTTTACTTTCAGTTTTTTTTGCAAGAACCTTCCATAGTGAATAATAAGTTCACCTAGCTGTGGTATTTGTTTAACTACTGGTGCAAAAAAAAAAAAAACCCCAAAAAACCCCAACAACATAAAATTGGGTGGGTCACATGATAATCTGCTTTATCACAACTTACAACCATAATGGGCAAGCTTCATAATGGTCATAAATTGAAGGCTCCCTGTAGGTCTTTCTTCTATATGAAGATCCATGATACTTGCTAATTCTGTGATAACTAGTGAGTAATCATGGCAAGGGATTGATGGAAATGTCCTGCCTTCAGATCATGTTTCACTTGGGGAGAGTTAATTGAAGTTTTAACAGTTAAGACGTTGAGCTTGTCAATCAGAAGATTGGTAGTTCAAGACCCAAGTACTGTGTCACGAGGTGAACCTCCACCCTTGCCCCAGCTTTTGCCAACCTAGCAGTTTGAAAGCATGCAAATGCAAATAGTTAAATAGATATCATTTTGATGGGAAGGTAACAGCGTTCCCTATATAGTTGGCTTATAGTCATGCTGGCTACATGACCACAGAAGCATCTTTCAGCAATGCTGGCTCCCTTGGCTAGGAAGCGGAGATGAACACCGACCCTCTAAAATCAGATGTGAATGGACTGGTGAAACCTTTCTTTACCTTATATTTTTAATCTTCCTTTGGCTGATGCTTGGTTTATAATGAGCCACCCAGTCAGTGTCGACTGATAGTGACCACATACATACATTTTCTCCTTTACAATCTATCCCTAACTTGGTCTTTCAAGTCTCCCAAGAGGGCACCCACTGCCACTGTAACTGAGTCTGTCTGTTTTCCTGCTTGCATCTTCTTCTCTTTCCTTCTGCCCTTTCCAGCATTAGAGCCTTATCCAAACAACTAGATCTTCGTACAATGTGCCTGAAGTAGGCTGATGTTGCCAGTTATTTCCATGCAAAAAAGGTTTACATTTTTCTGTTAAAAAAGTTTATGCTGTAGAAATCACCTCATCTTGTAAAGAATTAAAACGGGCCACCTATTTGAATTAAATTCTGCTAAAGCTGAACATCAGGGCCCTTTCTGTGAACTTTAGCATCATTAACTATTAGTGGGAGAAAATGTTTCTTTACTTAAAAGAGCGAATTACTGTGCTTTTGAAACAAACTGCATTCTTTTGGAATTAACCAGAATTATAAGTTACATCTAGTAATTTTCTTTGCTCTCTACAAGGAGTTTTTGACCAATGACCGTATCAGTGTCTGCCCATAAGTCATGACTGTCGTAAAGTGGGGTATCACATGAAAGATCTAATTTTACAACAGTAGTTAAATGAATGCAGCAATTGTAGAGTGGCTGCTGTGGTCATAAAGCAAACTTGGTGAACCATAGCTTTTCTGTCGACACAGTTTTGCCAATAACTGGACTTAATGCCTTTTTTTTTTTAACAAAACTTTGCCATGAAGTCAGCTTGGGCCAACAATTTTCTCTCATCCACAGGATTACTATTGTGGGGAAAATAGGAGGAGGAAGGTGTGTTGGATATGTTTGCTGCCCTTTTTGTAAAAATAGTACAGGTGAGATATAAACAAACAAAACTCCTAAAATTGTTCACTTGACTGTAGCACACTTCAAATAGCCATAAATGTGACTCAGTTGCAAGCACCCAAAGTTGGTTCACCTGATTGCGGAGAGGGGCAACCATCGTAACTTCAAAACTGGATCCTATGGAGCCCCCCCTCCCCCCCGGTAGATTAATTGTAATCTCAGTGGTCACTAACTGGTTGTAAGTTGAGAACTACCAGAAATTGACTTTAGTGTAGAAATGGGACTTTCTCACTTTCTGAAAAATGAAGTTAACCTCATTTTAGTCTGCATTATTGCTGAAATCCTCAAGTATGTTTTGGGTGAAGTAGAATGACATTGACTTAAATGATGCAATTTTTCCACCGTTTTGAAGTATCTCTTTTCTTTTTTCTAGTGAACTGGATGATGACTTACTAGGAGAAGATTTGTTGACTGGCAAAAAGGTAAATCGGCCTATTTGAAGTACACGCTTAAAAAGAGTAGTTAGTTTAAAAAGTAATTTGACTACTTTACTTCAGCCCACATTAGTGCAGCTCCTGATGGTTTAGAGCAGAGGTCTTCAAACTTGGCCCTTTTATGACTTGTGGACTTCAACTCCCAGAGTTCCTCAGCCAGGCATGCTGGCTGGGGAATTCTGGGAGTTGAAGTCCACAAGTCATAAAAAAGGCCAAGTTTGAAGACCCCTGGTTTAGAATCATCTGAGTCTTGCTGTTCCAGTGAAGAAATCCAAATGCTTTGCTGAAGGCTTGCCTGTTTATTTTATATCAATTCATTTTTATTATCATTTGTATATTTATGTCTTACGTCCAGCTCAAAAAAGGTTTTTTTTCCCCCCAATTTTAGACTCAGTCAGATATGTCAGATGAAGAACTGAATGATGATCTTCTGCAAAGTGATAATGAAGAGGATCAGCATTATAGGTTTGTGTTTTATTTGAGCCAAGAAATGTAGCTTGTGTTCTATATCAGCACATTCAGATAAGTCGTTTGTATTCCTGTATTAGAATAGCACATAAAATGTGCTGTTGACTGTAAGAAGTATTATCATTTGAGCACCAAATATGACACATCAAACATTGTTTTATCTATGCAAGTATATGAGTAAGAATTAAGCCCATTTTCGGCTGGGTATTAAAACAGAAAATAATGGTAGTATAGGGCCGTACATCCCAGATGTATTCTTTTCAGAATTGTGTGGTAACTTTCTCAATAATAATGATGACGATGATGTAAGAGACCTTGGAGGTCATCTAGTCCAACCCCCTGCTCAGGCAGGTAACCCTATACCATTTCGGACAAATGGCTCTCCAGTTTAAGAAAACTTAAAGTGTTGGAGCATTCACCGCTTCTGGAGGCAGATTGTTCCACTGGTTGATTGTTCTAACTGTCAGGAAGTTTCTCCTTAGTTCTAGGTTGCTTCTCTCCTTGATTAGTTTCCACCCGCTGCTTCTTGTCCTGCTTTCAGGCGCTTTGCAAAATAGCTTGACTCCCTCTTCTTTGTGGCAGCTCCTGAGATATTGGAACACTGCTATCATGTCCCCCTTCGTCCTTCTCTTCGTTAAACTAGACAGACCCAATTCTGGCAGCCGTTCCTTATATGCTTTAGCCTCCAGTCCCCTAATCATCTTTGTTGCTCTTCTCTGCACTCTTTCTAGAGTCTCAACATCTTTTTTACATCGCAGTAACCAAAACTGGATGCAGTATTCCAAGTGTGGCCTTACCAAGGCATTGTAAAGTGGTATTAATACTTCACATGATCTTGATTCTATCCCTCTGTTAATGCAGCCCAGCACTGTGTTGGCCTTTTTGGCAGCTGCAGCACACTGCTGGCTTATATTTAGGTGATTGTCCACTAGGACTCCGAGGTCCCTCTCACAGTTACTACTAAAATTTAATTGCTTCTAGGAATTCCTTAGGAATAGCTATTCTAATGTGAATTTCTAATTATATAACTTTTCTTTTGATGTATGTATTAGGAATGTAATTGTTACTAAGTGTAACTGATTAAAAAAATACTTCTGTTAAATGCCTCGAGGAAGAAAGAGGATGCCTGCTACATGTAGGCATAATCTTAACTGCAAAATTTTATTAAGAACTGTTGTTTTATTCATTTGCATTAAGAATACATTTTAACAATTACCCCAAAGGTGCTTCTTCAAAAGGCAACTGGACTTTCTTTGTTTTTCCATGAAGATGTTTTGCTTCTCATCCAAGAAGTTTCTTCAGTTCTAACTTGGATGAGAAGCAAAACATCTTCAAGGAAAAACAAAGGAAGTCCAGTTGCCTTTGAGACAACATGACCTGGAGGACTGAGAATCTCCATAGACATTTGTAGAATTATTCGGCCTTTTTTTTTTATTAAATGGCTGTGTTGAATTTCTTAGGTATATTGTTGGTATATTTTTTCACCCTCCTATTTGTTTTAGATACACACCTTTCCCCATCTTCTTGTTGATGGAAGGAAATAAAAATCATTCAGTCAGTGAGACCCTGCAGGACTGAATGTGTACACTCATACAGAAAAACAATATAGATCAATGTGATTGAAATTAGTCCTATTAGAAGTATTGCCTGACATATTAAACTAAAGAATTGTTCTCACTTCTTTCTCATTTGCCTAGTGGTTCAGCCCCGATGTTTTGACAGGAAACTTTGAGTTACAACCATCTTTAATCAATTCTGCCTTTGCTAAAAGTTTCTTGGCAAAGCAGAATTAGGAATTAAAATATAGCAAACCCCATATAATATCTAGATCATATTTCTATTTCAGACATCACACGTAAGAACAGAACAAGTCTGACTCTGAACTCTATTCGGGACTGAGGTTTCCCAGAAGTGGTTCACATGTAATAATAATTGCATTTTGGTCTTTATACCCAGGACAGAACTGCGTCTTGGAAACTTGACTTTGAAAGCATTACTGCCTTCTAATTTGTTCATTTCCATGACTTTTGCATGTCATGGTTTTTGTAATTGACAACTTGAATCGTCATTAGGAAGATCCAAGTTTAGTTCCACCTTCAGCCCTGGCAGCTCACTTGGTGACTTTTAACCAATCAATCTCTCATCCTGCCTACTTCACAGGATGGTTGTGGGGAGAAATATGAAGGAAGGAATCCGCCTTGGGTTCCTTTGAATTCCCAAAGAAACAAAACCCGATAAATAGTTTTTGGAGAGAATGTAAAAGGAAACTTACAGATAATTATTACTTCATGTACTACAAATTGCTATATTTTAATGAACAAAAATAATTATTTTTTAGTTTACTGAATTGATAGGGTTTTATAGAATTTTTTTTACCAGAAAACCTATGATTCCTTCTCAGAATTTAGATAGGATCTATTGACACAACTCAAATTGAACATTGGTTGATGTTGATGCCTATAAGAATTAAATGCAAATTCAAAATTTGAGGGAAAATTTTTATAAAATGTTTTTTTTTATTGAAAATTTTTGAAATTTTACAAGACAAATCCCCTCCCCAAACCCCCCCAGCCTCCAGTACCCTCCCCCAACTCCCCAAACCTCCCTAACCCTCCCCTGGACCTCCCAGAGTTGATTACAGGCTTATCCAAAATATTTCGAAGAAAAAAAAGAAAAAAAGAAAAAACTTAAAACACATATAAAACTTAAAACACATATAAATCCTAAACAAGTCTAGATATTTTAAATTAAATAGATTATCTCTAGAAAGTAATAATCATTAAGCACATTATAATGTACTCTAAACATCTTCTAATCATACTTATAATATTATCCATCATTCTATATAAGTTCCTCCCAGAACACAATTTTAAACACTACTTTCTTTGAACATCTATAACTATAATATAAAATCTAATTTAAATCATAAACAAATCTAAATACGTTTAATTAAACGAGTTATACTCCCTCCAAAACACAGATTTAAACATTACTTAAAACTTAAAACCTTAGAGTCCCCTTATACACATTTAATCAAGTTCCATCTTAAAAATAATAATAATAATAATTAGAAAAAAAATAAACCCAAACACTAAACACATTATAGTATACTCCAAACCTTCTAATATCATGCTAATATTATTATCATTTTTATAAACTCCCCCAAAACACAAATTTAAACATTACTTAAAACTTAAGAAATCCCTTATACACATTTAAATCTTTATCAACAACAAATTCCATCCACAATAAACACATTAAAAATTTAAATCTTCACCAATAACAAATTCCATCAATCTCGATTGTCCATTTTCATTCTCCATCCTTATCATTCTCTAATTTTTATCAAACTCAAGAGAAATTCTTTGAGATCTGCCTTTAAGGATTCCTTCAAAATTTCTGAATCTCCCAACAACTCAGAAGCCAATACATGTGGGGATTCCTTAAACTCCTTATTCTGTTGGTCTTTTTCTTTATAATTATGTGTTGCACGAATTGTCTTCTGCCCCTTCCTCTCAACTTGTTGAGACTCCTCAAGCTGAGATTTCCCATTTTTCATTTCAGACAACAATTCCATCCTTGAAGATTGCTCCAGAGGCTTTATAAGTCTTGCTTCTCCCACAGATTCAGAAACCACTAGATGTGAAGCTTCCTTGATCTTCTTCTGTTGTTGCTTTTCTTTACAGTTATATGCTACACAAGTTATCTTCTGCTCCTCAATCTGAACATGTTGAGATCTCTCAGGCAGTGGTTCCCCAATTTTAAAGTCTTCAAACTGTACTTCTCCATTCTTTTCTTCCAAGGTTTTAAACTTAATAGATGACGATGAACATAGCCCCAGGACCGAAGTATAAAAATCTTTTGCTTGAGAAGCAGTATTAAGTCTATAAGATATCCCCAGGTAGTTCACCACCATTCCAATCGGAACATCCCATCTGAACGAAATTCGTCTCTTTTTAAGTTCATTTGCTAAAAAAGCAAACTCCTTTCTTCTTCTTAAAATTTTAGATGGGATCTCCTTTAAAATTATAACATCTTGTGAAGCGATTTGAAATCTCTTTTTATAAAAAGCTTGTATAATTTCATTGCGTAGAGATCTTTTCCCAAAGTAGATTACCACATCTCTTGGCAAATTCTTTTGCACTGCCACCACTGAGTTAACTCGAAATAATTTTTCAATTTCACTAAGTATTTCTTTTTTTTCTTTATTCAAAATCAAGCAAAATCCTTTGCAACCATCTCTTTCAGATCTCCTTGCAAGGACTCTCCCAAGCCTCTAATTCTTAAGGCATATTCCATTTGTCCATATTGAAGCATAAGAATCTCATTTTCCATTTCTTTTTCCATACTTTCAGTTTTTCCCTCCATTAATTCCACTTTTTCAGCTACTTCTTCCACACGGGAGTTCAACTTTTCAATAACAGAAGCAACTCCTTTTAAAGCCAAAACTATGTCTTGCCTCAAAATCTTGTTATTTTCCTCTAAAATCTTTTTCATTTCTGCCCTAATTTGAATTGTGAGATTTCCCATCATATCTTGCAAATCCTTCATGATTGTTGGTTGAACCACAGAAGAGGGTGAAACTATTGATTTAGGAACTGTAAGAGTCCCTAGACGCTTTGGAGCCATCTTAAAAAAAAACAAAAAAACTTTACTCCTTCTTGAGAATTACAAAAATTTAAAATAATAAAAAAGGGGAGTTAAAAAAGAAGAAAAAAGAAAAAAGAAATTAAAGTATCCGTTCCAATCATTAAAAAGGGGGAAGAAAAAACACCAAAAAGCCTGCCTTTTAAAAGTACAAAAGACAAAGCAAAAAAGTCAAACAAAAACAATAATGTTTAAAAAATTAAACAACAAAAATAATAATGCTTCTAAAATCCATCCAATCATTAAAAAGAAGAAAAAAAAAAAGAGAAAGTAAGAGAAACCGATCGCCATTCTAACTTCCCCCCCCCAAAAAAACGCTAGAAAGTCTGCCGATCGCCATTTTACTTTCCCTTTCAGCACAAAGTAAAAAGTAAAAGGAGAGAATATAAACATGAAAATAAACCTTTAAGCTTAAAATACATATAAAATCAAAAAAAGCAAAAAGTAAATCCTCTAATCAACTCTGTCCGCTTCTAAAAAAAACTCACCAGGTCCCTTTAAGCGCGGAGGTGGTTGCAACGGCTTGTTTTGTCCCTAGGGCAAAAACAGCTGGGAAGCGGAGACAGTCTGAACTCCGTGGGAGCACTCTGTCACCCCCCAAAAAAGAAATTGGGGGTACATAAGAGGCTCTACCACTATTCAGACAACCCTCTTCCCCCCCCTTTGCCCGGGAGGGGGATTTTGAACCGCAGAACAGCTGATGTACGCTGTTCATAGCGATTCATTACACTTACCCAGGAGGATGGCTACAAAGTAGCCGCCATCGCCGCGCAGATCCACCGGAAGTCGCCTATAAAATGTTTTATAGATGGCATCTAGATCCTAAAAAATTATCTTGTATGTATTCTAATTTACAACCCAAATGTTGGAGATGTGGTAATTTGGATGCGACATATTTTCACATTTGGTGGGATTGTAAAAAGGTAAAGGCTTTTTGGATTATGATTTGGTGGAACATTCAAAAGATTTTTAGAAGGAAGATAAAGTTTACTCCTCAATTACTTTTATTGGGTATTTTTGTGGATTTAAATGACAAAGAAACTATTTTAATGTCGAATTTATTAACTGCAGCAAGGTTACTAGTAGGCTCATACTGGAAGAAAGATTCGTTGCCTACTTTAGAAGAATGGATATTTAAAGTTTCTAATTTTGCAGAAATGGCAAAAATTTCTGCTTATTTGAAGGATCATACACAAGAAAGATATATTATTGTATGGAGAAGATGGATAGATTATATTCAGAAAAAGTATGGGACTACAAAGTTTCATTTATTTTATGAGTAAATTTTATAGTAAATGTAGTGATTTGTTTATGATGTAATTTAAGGGGAGTTAAAGGCTAAGTATGATTTTTTTTCTTTCCTTTTCTTTTTTCTTTTCTTTTTTTTATTGTTAACTTTGTCATTAATAATCCTGTACTCTGCTCTGGGAAGTGAGGGGGGGGGAGGGTTGAGGGTGGGTGGGTAAGGATAATACAGATATGGTAGTTTATGAGAGAGGTGGTGCTTGGGCATTTCCCCTATGCTGCGTTCATGTGTTTGAGAGGGATGAGAGGGGAGGAAGGTGTAGGGAGGAAGTAGGATGGTAAGAGGAGAAGGGGAGGGGAAGAGAGTAGGAGGGGAGGAGAAAAAGAGGAGGGAAGTAGGGAAGGTATTAGAGAGGGTGGACGCAGCCTGGGGGGAATGGGCAGGCGGTACCAATGGTTATGAATTTATCTTATCTTGTAAATTGTATTTTGTATGATGAATAAATGGAAAATAAAAACTTTTTAATGTTAAAACTTTTATTTACTAAACCTAGCTTTCGTCAAGAGCTCTTGACGAAAGCTAGGTTTAGTAAATAAAAGTTTTAACATTTTTAACTTTTGTATAATTTTATTCTCTTGGTGTTCAACTATTTATTGATTTATATATATATATATATATATATATATATATATATATATATATATATATATATATATATATATATATATATATATGAATTAAATGTAAATTCTAGCATATTGAAGTATATTCAAGCATACCCTTTAAAAAATATTTCAGTAACCTAAAATTCCAAAGCATTGGTACTCAGCAATATTAATGTAGCTAGTATAATGTTGCACTAAATGTGTATATTTGGTAACGCTGATCTCCTTCTGTGTATATTTGTTAACTTGGGATTTAAAACGGAATGCAACTTGCTCAGTTATCTCACACTTCATGCCAATCTAATCTGTTAGAACCTATAGTTGGTTTGATCCCATTGGGGATGAAACAGTATTATAAGTATGCACGTTATGAGTTTATGATATGAAATCAAATTGATGCATCAATAAATTTTGCTCTACTTAATGTGGATATTGTTGCACACTAATAATCTATTGATTTAAATTAAAAACACTTTTTTTTGCCTTATTGTAGTTCTCAAGATCTCACTGTGAGTCTTAATGCTTCATCTAGCGTGGTTACATCCTTTGAGAATGCTAATGACCCATCTATTGAACAAGACTTAGAGTATGAACAAGGGGAAGATGAAATTGGTTATGACAAATCAGATGTTCCTGAGGAGTATGCGGAGGAGTATTCGGAAGAACAATATGAAGGCCAAGAGGCTGAGTTGATAGAAGATCAAATAGAATATGAGGAAGATCAGGGTGAAGAAGAGAATTATAACGATGAAGTGCTGGATCTTGAAATCAATGAACCTCTAGATGAATTTCCGGTGAGGTTTTTTTTTTCCCTTCTATTTTAGTTTTTGAGATAACATTGCTGCACATGCTTAGGTTTTTAGACTGATCTGAAATCTGTTTACCTCCCTTTGGGACCAGAACAAAATTAGACCTATTATCACTGTCTGCCAGTTTCTTTATCTAGACTGTGACAAAGTTTGTGTTGACAGCTTGTTTGGCTGCAGGTAATGCTCTTTTGTCATTCTGGAAGGCAGTTGAGAATCATGACCTTGAAGATTGTATCCTTAAGGAAGAAAACAGCTTTGTGTGGTGCAGACGCAGTGCCAATTGTTAGAAGTACTTAATGCAAAAGCTTTTATCCAGGCTTTAGACAAGATCTGATAAAGTCCTTCGAAGGTGAAAAGATTATTGACCTGCTAAAGACATCTTTAAGGTGCTAATATTCCAAAGTGATTGATGTTCTGCTCACTCATTTCCACCCTCCCCTTTTTTTGTAATTGAGAACTGTCTAAAACTGAATAAAGAGATTTGAGGTTACTTTAGAACATGTCTCATATATAATTTGTTTCAGTTTCAGTGTATATTGCTCTGATTTGAAACTAGAATAGATTTATTGCCATTTATTAGAAGTATTTCTCAACTAAAAATACCCTAGCAAACAAAAGGATTTATTGTTCCTTTATCTTTGCTTTAAAGCCTAAATCACATAATAAAATACTGTATGTTATTCTTAGATGTATAAGACATAAATAAATAATGGGAAAGTACATTTCATGAAAATAAAGGTATTGTATTACTCTCAAATTAGTTGAATATTTTATTAAAATCAAAAATTCTACATTTAAAAAGGAATTAATGTGAACTATCACATCATTATGCCATGTAAGCTGCTCTGGGAGCAATTAATTTTCATTTTATGGAGTAGGGTATATATGCTTTAAGTAAGTAGATATAATTTTTCCTAACACATGTTTTTAAAACTGTACTAATTATAGTAATGCTGGTGTCATGTTTTAAATTTTAAGAGGGTTTATCTTCTAAGTTATTGATACAAAAAATAAATAGCTGCCTCATATAAATATATTAAATGTGTTGTTGGTTTAACGGATACCTATATGAATGTAGTGTTGTATTTGAATCTTCATAACCTTTATATAATCATATGGATTCCAATTTCTCACCCATTAAGTCTTAGTTGCAACAAGGTATAAAGTTGTTGTCATGATTAATATTAATTATAATTTATCTTAAGCTCCATTCACCATTTAAATCCTAATTCACTGATAAAAACTAGTTTGCATAAATCAGTTATATTTAAGGTAGATTCAAGATGCTGGAGATAGAAAATGTACAGAAGTACGGAAGTTTATGACTTTTTTCCAGTCTGTTAATCAGAGCTCGTCAAGTTGGAAGATTGCATTTATACCAGCCCCTTCTGAATAAATAAGCAGTGATATATTTAGAAAATAAAATTAGTTTAAGTGAAAGGCTTCCTTGTGCATTTCTTTCAGGATGAAGATTATGTACAATCTTATAGTGGAGAACAAGTAATTGAACAACAAGAATATGTAGCTGAAGAAGAGTTAGAAGAGGTTGCTGATACCCAGTCACCTCCAAATGAGTCAGAAGAGGTACTGCAGAAAAGCTGGAACATTAAAAAAAAAAAAACATATTTCAGATAGATTTTTCAATTTGGTATTTACCTTTGGCATTGCTTTTTCTCAATATTTCTATTGCAAAAGTAGCTATAAAGAGAAACTACGACCCTATGATGTTAACTTTTAGCAAGCAGACTTATATACCAGGATGTTCAACATTCCTGAATACTCATTTTCAGGGAAAAACTAGAGATATGAAGGCAAGTGGTGTACGTGCTACTTGTGCCACAGCTGCTTCTCCTCCATTTGTTTCTCATTTTTGGCAGCCTTTACAAATAGCGCTGGAGTAATAGAGCCCACTTCAGTCATCATCCAATATTTCATTTACTTTTCATATCTGAATTTTTTTAAAACGTGTCCATAGCCATGCTTTAGAAGAAAATGCACAGTACTTTGTGACCAGAAATTCATAAATGCTTAGCATTATACCAGAATTAATTGTTCTGCATTGAAGTATCTTCTGCTTGATATAAAATCCTCGATCATTTTTCACTTTGTTCTTTGTGGAAACCGAGTCACCTTTTTTTAGCATTCCTTATATGTAGTTGAAACAGTTTCATTCATCTGCTCACAGTGTTCTCATATATTATCTTTATTCCATAAACATCATGACCTACTTGCTAGCAAGTAAATGTAAAAAAAAAAAAAAACCCCAAATAACGAAAACTCAGTTGTGCTTGAATGATATTTTAGTAAACTAGTTCTTCTACAGAGTTTTCTGTCGAGACTTCTCATTCCTTGTTCAATTTGATTTCCTTCTCCATTGCATCAAAGGAGAAACGGTCTTAGAAGCTAGTGATGAAACCTAAATCTTGGCTAGATATTTAACATGTGCTGTATACCACATTCTCCGTTCCATAAGAATTTTGATCCTTGACATTTCAAAACCGTTGGATGAGTAGATGAGACCTTGCTAGAAGATAGAGACAAGAAATTTAGAGTGACTTAAGGCATCTGTCCATGAAAATACCAGTCATTACCTGAGCAATAAGTTTATTTTTCGGTGAGGCATTTATTTTCTTTTCCTCTTCTACAAGAGGCTAGCTGCCACTCTTAGCTTTCACTGCCTGTATTTGAGGGAAGGGGGATTATATTTGGATTTAAGGTTTTCCTCATCCTCAGTTTCTTTTGAAGTCCGGAGTGGGAGCTTTAGTTGGACTGTTTGACAGGCAGTTCATTTTTTCCCCTCTATCACCTTAAAATAAGGGCTCATCATCCAAGTTAGTGTATTCCTTAGAGTACTGGTTGGTTTACTTGGTATTTAAATTCTGTGATTTTCTTCTTTTAAGCATGTTGAAGCACTTCCTGCAATAGAAAGTACAGTGCTCTGTAGATTAAGAGTAGAATTGTAGGGTTTGAAAAAAATATCTTGTAGGCACCATAACTAGCACTGATGTTTTTTTTTCTTTTTCAATCATTCCTAACAGATTAATTTCAGTAATTTAAGAATGTAGCCTATCAGTAATAAGACACTAACTTATACCATGCAAACTGTAAAGAGAATATTTTAAAGCTTTCACTACACAGAGGAATCTTGCCAAAGTCATCCAGTTGAAAAATGCTATAATTCTCTTACCCTCAAATATTATTTCTCTTACACTTCCAGGAATTTTATTAACTCATTTTCTGTTTTGTTATGCTTTGTGGGAGGTTATTCAGTTACAGGAAGTGAGCAGTGAGAAAGATTTCCAAACTTCTGTTAAGAGTTATGGCTATGATCCTAAATACATTAACTGTAATGGTATGTGGGAAAGGTCTTGGGAGATGGAAGAAGGGAAGAGATGCTGCCTCAGGAAGGGTCAGATGCAGTTGCAAGGTCAGCTGCAAATTGCATAATGGACAGGGAAAGAGACTCAGAAGAGTCTTTTAACTTCTTAGGCTATAAAAAGAGATGGTGGGACCTATGTGTTTTAAGATTGTCTTACAGTAAAGTAGTATTAACTCACCTGGTCATGTTTCCTGTGTAGTCTGCTTGGGAAGGCTGACGTTCCTTAATGTTTTCTGATGAACACTGTTAACATAACAAGGAAGTAGCCATTCAATTTTAATGCAGCATTCCCCTTTATATATTTTAGCCTGGAAAAATTCTTAAATAATTTAGACTTCCCCAAATTATTTTTAAATATTGCAATCTGAAATTAATCCTCCTGAACTCATAATAAGAAATGCAGCACTCTCCTATCTTGACACGAAACACTGATTTTTAGTATAGACTTTAAAGAATGAATAAAGCAGGCATGTCAAAGTGCCGGCCCACGGGCTGGATGCGTCACGCCAAAACCGCACCCACCCCATTGCCAGCAGTGGGGAAAAATCGTGATACATCGCGCGACGTCATGTGATGTCGCAAGTTTGACTGTCATGGTTCTGACAGGTGAAACTCTTCAAAGAACTTTGAGGCATTGTTTACCTTAAAGAGTCTTTATTTTGAGTAGCATAACATTGGCACTGCATAATCAAAGCCAAAAACTGAATTCCCCTCCCCTGAGCACAGAGTATCAAAGGACAATTCCTTCCTCCAATTAATTGTCATAAATCACATTCTCCAATTAGCTTGAAGCGCGGGTTTCCTCTCCCTTGCTTCTCATGCTGGATTCAGTGTTGTTATGTCTACCTGGACTTTCGTTTACATTCCCCCTCCCAGCATCATCTAACTCTAAAAGCAAAAGGTAAAAGATGGCTATAATTACATCTGTTGTCATTGCAAAAACATCTGATGTTAGCAGCGTTGATATCTGCCCCCTCCTTATAAAAAGGATAAATCCTATAATATAAACAAAAGCACAGGTTAGGGATTGCCTCTCGGTTTGTTATGGTGTTTCTTATAAAACCTAGTAATGAGTCTATCAGCTTTCACATTGCTAGACTTCACCCAAGTGGCTTCAGATAACGAGTATCCCTTCCATTGTATTAAATACTGCAATTTCCCTTTAAAAATTCTAGAGTCAAGAATATGCTTTACTTCATAGTCTGTCCTGACACCACGAGGGGTCGAGGTGCCTTCTTAGGGGGAGGTCTTAAAGTGGAATCCTGGTAAGGTTTCAACAAGTTGCAATGGAAAATGGTGAATTTTTCCTAAGAGCTTAGGGAGTTTTAATTCCACTGTAACTGGGTTAATGATCTTTATAATGGGGAAAGGTCCCAAGAACTTTGGTACTAGCTGCTTACTGGGTAATTTGAACTGTAAATATTTAGTCGACAGATAAATCTTTTCCCCAACTTGGAATGTTCTTTGAATAGCCCTTTTTCTATCCGCCTGCTTTTTATATGCCTCGGAAGCTTTTTTAAAAGCAGTTTTTGTGGTTTTCCAAACTTCTTCCCACCCCTTTACCCATTGGTCAAGTGTCTGTGAAGTGGAGGGCGCCTGGGGATATTCAGGTATCGGGTTGAACTCTTTTCCTGTGGCCACTTTAAAAGGCATGAAGCCAGTATCGCTGTGAACAGAGTTATTGTAAGCCACCTCTGCGAAGGGGAGGAGGTCAGTCCAGTTTGTTTATTGATAGCTGACATAGCATTTGAGATATTGCTCCACTATTGAGTTCATGGATTCAGCCCACTCCCATTAGTAGCTGGATGAAAAACAGATGATAGACCTTGAGATGAACCAATTAGTTTAAGGAAACTTCTCCAAAACCTAGCTGTGAACTGCACGCTCCTGTCCGAGATTGTTCGTTTAATGCGCCATGCAGCTGGTAGATGTGTTTTAAAAACATTTTGGTCAATTGTTGGGCGGACGGAAGCTCTTTGCTGTTGGTGAAATGAGCCTGCTTTGAAAACAGATTTATCACAGTCCAGATGACTGTATTTCCTCTACTTTCAGATAGATCTACTATAAAATCCATAGCAATTTCTTCCCATGGTTGGGAAGGATCTGCCACTGGTTGCAACAACCCAGGGGGTTTCCCTGGAATTCTTTTCATGGTGGCACATACAGCACAACTCTTAACATAGCTTTCGACATCCCGTTTCAAACCCAGCCACCAGAATTGCCGGCGGATGGGGTGTAATGTTTTTAAATATCCAAAATGTCCAGGCTGTTTAATATCATGGCCGTGTCGGAGAGTGTTAAGGTGGAGGTCTCTGGCAAGTATAACTTTCCCCCCTTGTAAGCCAAACCATCCCTGCACATTAGGGATGTTTGATTGTCTTTGAACCATTGGTCGGTGAGGAGCTCTTGTTTTATTTTCTTTGCCCCAGGGTCATCAGGGTTAGGGGCTCTTGGAGGTGGGATTCTGCATGGCGTGAATTGAGAGGCTGTTTATGGATTGGAGATAAGTGCCTCATTAACCTCTTCATGCTGGCTTTTATATTGGGACAGTCTGGATAGAGCATTTGCTAAGAAGTTTTTCTGTCCTGGTATGTATTTTAAAGTGAAGTTAAAATGGTTAAAGTACTGCGCCCATCGCACTTGTTTCAGAGACAATTTATGGGGAGTTTTCAGCGCTTCTAGATTTTTATGATCAGTCCATACTTGAAAGGCCCCAGAGCCCAGCGGATTGTGAACACCTCCTTTTCCCACACAGCCCACCTTCTCTCTCGCTCAGTGATTTTTTTTCGAGGTGTAGGCGCAAGGTTGTAAGGTTTCAGTCCTCAGCAGCAGACGATTTCGTGGTTCTCCATCGGTCTGGGGAAGACAACATGCGAGAATCCCCTCTTGGCAGCCCAACCTCGTCCGTCTTTGAAGCACTTGAAGGTGGCAAGGCTGCCTCGAGGTGTCTGGAGTTTCTGCTGGGTTGGAGCTATTCTGACGACCAGATCAGCTGTCCTTGCGGCTTGGGCTTTGCCCTCAGCTGGGAGGCCTAAAAAAGTTCCTTCTCCACTGGCGCGCTGACTGGCGCTCCCCCTTCTGGGGTAGCAGCCTTTGCCGGGGTGCTGGTTTCAGGCGTTATCTCTTTCTCCATGCTGAGATCTTCCCTGAATCTTTGTTAACTTACCCCTCTTGTCTAGGGACAGCAACTGGGGCTTGGGACCCCAAAATAATTAGGAAAAAGGTTGAGTTTTTGGCTTAATGTTATGGTTGCGACAGATGAAACTCTTCAAAGAACTTCATAACATCGGCAGGGCGTAATCAAAGCCAAAAACTGAATTCCCCTCCCCTGAGCACATAATATCAAAGCACAATTCCCTCCTCCAGTTAACAGTCATAAATCACATTCTCCCCAATTTCTTATCAGCTCTGGTTACAATAACCTTGCTTCTCAGGCTGGATCCAATGTTGTTATGTCTAGCTGGACTCTCTTCACATTCCCTGTCCCAGCATCATCTAACTTTAAAAACAAAAGGTAAAAGATGGCTACAATTCCATCTGTGGTCAGTGCAAAAACATCCGATGTTAGCAGCGTTGACATTGACATGCCTGGATTAAAGAGATATATCTTGGAAGCTCAGAGGAAAGATCCAAAGTCCCAAAAGTGTTTTTTTTTCCAAAAGACAAATGGACTTTGTTTTTCCTTGAAGATATTTTACTTCTCATCCAAGAAGCTTCTTCAGTTCTCCAGTTCCCTTCAGGGAAAAACAAAGTCCAGTTGCCTTTCGGTAAAAAAAAACACTTTTGGGTCAACCATGACCTGGATGACTGAAAATCTCCATAAGCAAGATATAAAGATTGTAGTCCTGCCTGTTCTACAGTTGCTCCCTAATGAAATTCACTGCTCCAGATGTATTGCTTCTTTAATGTTATTTCTATAATTTCTATTTCAGAATGTTAGCTCTTTTGAGTAAAAACTTTTGATTTCAAAAATACAATTTTGATGCCATTTTTCTCCTTCCTTGCTTGTCCTAAAATTACACCTTTTTGTAAAGTGTTTAGCCATAATTATTATTAGCTGAATTTAAACATGGACTAAATTTCTGCATTATTTCTTTTTTTTTTCACATTCCACTTCATGAAATCAGTTAAATTTCACATAGTGCTGTATTATTGAACAGTATATTATAGTGGAACGATATTGAATTTTAAGAAAGACCCATGGCTTATTATTGCATGATAAAATTAACATTGAAGAATTTTGACTTAGAGTTGCTTAAATACCACTCTGGACAGCGTATATGATATTATACATGATACACACTGATTTAATAGATTTCAAAACCTTGTAAATATGTAAGATCGGCATTTTATCCTGTCCTTCTCTGTTAACAGGCAATTATTGAAAATCTGGAGTTTCAAGAAGAGACCAAAGAAGAGTCAGATGAAGAAGAGGAAGATGATGAAGAGTCTGGTCGGTTACGGTTCAAAACTGAACGGAAAGAAGGAACAATTATTAGGCTATCAGACATAACAAGGGAGCGAAGAAACATTCCAGAAACTTTGGGTAAGACTTTAGAGCAGTGGTTCTTAACCTTTCTAATGCCGTGACCCCATAATACAGTTCCCCATGTTGTGGTGACCCCCAAGTGGGTGTGGCCACCAATAAGAGGGAGTAGGACAGCTAGGGAAAAGGGGAAAAAATGGCGGACAGCATGGCTTGGCGACCCCCGTGAAATGGTCATTCGACCCCAAATGGGGTCCCGACCCACAGGTTGAGAACCACTGCTTTAGAGGAATGGTTAGAAAACTAGATTTTTTTATTGGTTAAACAACAGACTAGCACATTACATGCACAATTGAATAATAATACAAAAATTAAAAATATAAATAATTGTGCTGAAGGTCTGAATTATAAGCAGTGAGGGTGAAAAGAAGTAAAATTATAAAATAAAAAAAATAATTTGCAGTTCAAGAGCACTTTTATAATGTGTACAGACAGTCCTCCTCAACTTATGTACATTTGTTCAGTGACCGTTAAGGTGCTGAAGTTGTGGCAGAGTTGACAAAATGGAGGTACAGCTGTTCCAGCTATCACACCATCTTTGTGACCACCTACAATGCGGTACAGGTGCTCTGGTGACCAGCTTGCGTTTATGATGTCGCAAGGAGGCAGGATCATGTAACCAGCGACCTTCTCTGCTGGCTTTCCACAAGCAAAATCCATGAGAAAGTCAGCAGGGAATGTCACAAGTTGTTCCGTTTAGTCTCTCCTGCTTCTTCTACCCACCTGAAGCACATGTGCTTTATGTTGGCCCTTCCCTGACTCACACACTGTCTGCATCTGCGCTCCCTTTTGTGTATGATCATCCCCACACTGCTTACCTGGAACCCTCACTGCTTCCCACTTAGCAAGCTGCACAGGGGTGACCACAGCAACCTGGACTGCCAGGATTGTCCTTGCTAAGCACTGTGGTCATGTGATGTGCTCTATGACCACACCAGGTAGCAACTGTAATTTTGGTCCCAATTGCCACTGTAATCCTAGGCCAGGGGTGGGGAACCTTGCCTCTTTTATGACTCGTGGACTTCAACTCCCAGAATTCCTGAGCCAGGATGGCTCAGCTTGGAAACTCTCCCTTTCTCCTCAGCATGGCTGGCTCAGGAATTCTGGGAGTTGAAGTCCACGAGTCATAAAAGAGCCAAGGTTGCCTACCCTTGCCCTAAGACTACCTGTATTTATTCAGGATGGGAAGTTGTTAAAGATCTTGTGGCAGTATTGGTAGTGTAAAATAATATGATCTGGTAAATTTAGATAGGTCTTATCTTTCCTGATATGAGAACAAACATATTAAGGTGTCATACAATGTCCGCTGAGCTTCAGGTCGAATCAGCTTTTCTAGAAGGACAGGCTAATTAAAGATGCTACTGAAAGAAATCTCAGATTGATGTCATAGCAAGGTGGAATCAGGCAGGTTTAGTAATGAATTATTTAGAGTCTCAGTGTGAGTCTCAGTGTGATACCTTGTGAAACTACACACAAGAAGGACTTCTTTTGAAGTGTCCTGTGTTACAAGTTCGATATGAAGGTACGTTGTAATTTTCTAACAGAACATGTTGCTGTAAAACTATCACAGGAGTACATTTCTTCTGTCACATTAAGAGACATGGACACGTCCACTGTCTGGTCTGATGCCTCATACAGAAGTAATGTAGATGTTTCACGCTTTGTGAATTGAAAGCCTCTTGAAGAAATTTTGCTGTTTTACAGATTGACTTAGCAGTCAATCTGACTTACGTGAAATCATGACATGGTGTAATATGTCATGTGTTGTTCCTCTGAGGTTGTCTTTACCTCCTTTTAAGAACTGCTAAGGACCAGATGGTTTTCTTTACTGTGTCCTGGTACGTAGAACCATAGAACTCAAAGAGGGAGTAGTTTCTTTTTCACATGACTGTAGGTGCTTCTCGGGGTGGGGATATTGGGGTGGGAGTGGCAGGTTGGAGAAGTCTGATTTATTAGTTCTGAATTAATCTAAAATTTGGAACCAATAAAATAATAAATAATAAGAATAATTTGAGAATAATATATCTGCTGTACGTTTCACACAGGTATTTAACATGTGAGATGGGCTAAATGAAGTTTGAAACATCTTTCATATTCAATGAATCCGATCTGCCCGTTGCTGGGGATTATTCAGCTCTACCACGCAAAATGCTATATTTCAAATAACAAAAGTTGTTGGGTATTGCTCAAAGGGGCAGATATTAAAAAAAATGCTTTTTAGCTATCCAAATCATAAATCAGAATTCTCCAACCTGCCACCCTCCACCCCAATATCCCCACATTTCCTTTTCCCAGATTTTATGTGTTTGTAGTTGCTGGGAGTTGTAATTTACAGGTAATCACTGATTTACAATTATAATTGGGACCAGAATTTCCTTTGCTAAGCAGGGCGGTTAAGTAAATCGTGCCCATTCCATAACATTTTTACTAAGGTTGTTAAGTGAATCACTGCACTTGTTAAGCCAATCTTCCTTCCCTCATTGATTTTGCTTGTTGGAAGCTGATTGGAAAGGTTTCAAATGGCAATCCCAATGGGCACTACAACCATCATAAATAAGTGCCAGCTGCCAAGCATCCAAATTGTGGTCACATGGCCGTTACATGGGTATATTGTGATAGTCATAAGTGTGAGGATCAGCTGGAAGCCACCTTTTCGGTGCTGTTGTGACTTTGAATGATTGCTAAATGAATAGTTGTAAGCTGAGGACTGCATGTATATGAGAGGGGCCTCATATGCTATTCTAAACCCATTTAGGGTGGTGGAATCTGTAGCACAGTGTTTCTCAATCTTGACAATTTTAAGGCATGTGGACTTCAACTCCCAGAATTCCACAGCCAGCAATGCTGGCTGTGGAATTCTGGGAGTTGAAGTCCACATGCCTTAAAATTGTCATGGTTGAGAAACACTGCTGTAGCAGAAGTGAGGGGGGAGGAGTAAGAGGCTTGGCTAGCTTGCTGATGGGGAGGAAGTGCCTGAAGGAGATCCTCCCTAAAAACCTAGCAGTATTTTTCTAGTAGTTCTGTAGTGAGTGCATGAGTCTGGGGAGATTCAAGGAACCAGAAATGAAACAAGGAGCAGGTCAGCGTGGTATGTTTATTGCTATTTGCCTATAGACAAGCACCTTGTGTTAAGCCTGGAAAGATAGATAGTTTGTAGTGGGATGCTTTGATAATGGAATATTTTGAGAATATATATTGAGCTGGAAAAAAAAATCTGTCTCAATTGATATTAAGAAACTATGGGAGCAAAATTTATTGCGCTTTGCTTTTATTTGACAAAATTCCTTTTTTAAAAAAAAATTTTCAGCCTCTTATCTGAAAAGTACAAGATTAGCAAGCTGTCTCTATGGAACTATCTTAAAAAGTGTTTGGAAATACTGATTATTTATTTGATAGCTGTTTCCTTAGTTTCATAAATAACAGTATCAAAGTACAGTAAAAAATAACCCCGTGATATCTCATTAGCAGTTTGCCATTGTCAGCTAGAGCAGTTAAGTGATCTGCAATAATTGTTGTCTATTAGGGAAAACTGTAGTAAAAGTGGCGTAATAAATATTACTTTCTTTCAGAAGAGATTGCTCTTAATAAGAATTATGGGTATAGAAATGGAATTCCATTGAGTGGTTACAATTTTTACTTTAACATCTAGACATAAATTGAGAAAACACTTAAACAGAAATTAATATTTTAGTTGAAATTCCAAACGTAATTTCCTTTCTGTCACTTTTTGGTGACCTTTCGTGACAGGTTGTCTCTATTGGAGGAAAGCATCCTTACTTGCTGATTAAAGATGGCATTTGAAACCATTTTATTATCAAGGGTAGCCAAATTAATTTTGACACTTGGAAGGACTAGAGAAATAATTGCTGATTCACTGCATTAGCTGTGTGTGAAAGAATTCTGCAGTAAAGATTGGATATGTGTTGGTAAAAATATGTTTAACATTTTTTCTTATGAACGCAGCAGAATTGTGTCTTAAATGCTGCTTTTTTTAAAATTAAAAGGAAAATCCTTTGAGTTGAAAGCATTTTAAAGCAGGTAAGTAAAAACATGAAATAGGTTCTTTAGGGACAAAAATTGAAAGAATCATATACAAAAAAAGGATAACATGATTCTTTTAACAGAATAACAGAGTTGGAAGGGACCTTGGAGATCTTCTAGTCCAGTGGTTCTCAACCTGTGGGTCGCGACCCCATTTGGGATCGAATGACCATTTCACGGGGGTCGCCAAACAATGCAGTCTGCCATTATTTCCCCCTTTTCCTTAGCTGTGCTACTCCGTTTTATTCTATTGGCTTTTGAAAGCCAATAGAATAGACTCTCTTGAATAGAGTCTAATTCTATTGGCTTTCAAAAGCCAATAGGAATTGTCCAGGCTGTCTCTGCCCTGCTGAGCCCGCCAAAAGCCCCAGTCTGCAAACGGTGCTGCACCAGTTGAGTAGTCCTCGACTTACGACCGGTTGGGGGTCGCGGCATTAAAAAGGTTGAGAACCACTGTTCTAGTCCAACCCCTTGCTCAAGCAGGAAACCCTATAATATTTCAAACAAATGTTTATCCAATATCTTCTTAAAAACCTCCAGTGTTGGAGCACCCACAATTTCTGCCAGCAAGTTGTGTTTTATAGAATACTTCTGAAATGAGTCCCATTTTACAAAATACAGACAGTACTTCTTCCCCCTGCAGTCAGATAATTATGTTTTGGACTCTCGGCAACCGACTTACATTCAGGGCTGTTTTCAGCATCCTACGATTACACGACCAATATTTCTGATGTTTCGTGCTGGAAACTGATGTTTGCTTCCAGTTTTGGCAAAAAACACCACTTAACAGCCGGCACAACTTACTGTGGGATTTGGCTCTATTATGGTCATAAGTCAAGGACTACCTGAAGTTTTTAGAGGATTTATGTTCTGAAATTGAGCATCAGAAAAGGTTTCTGTGTGTATATATAAAGGATGACATATGGTCTTGTGAATTCTGAATATTGATTTCGCTTTTATGCAGTTAATTTTTTTTCTGATACCATTAGATAGCAGGGAGGGTGGGGCTGTTTTGTAGGCACTCCTTTTCCAAGTTATGAAAGCTGCAGAAGATAGCCAAAAATTGGAATAAATATTTGTTCGTGAAAGTGAAAAGACAAATTACTTGCCCTGAACCTAAACTCTTCTTCCTTCCCTTATCATCCTTCCCCCATTTTTGAGTCTAACTGAGACCTAATTTTACTATTGTTAAAGCTGTAATTATTTTGATGGTATCCGTTAGGTGTATGTAACAGTCCCTAAGGAGGATTCTCATTCCTTCTTTTACTCTGGTTTGTTATTCTTCAATGTCACCCTATTTTGAACACTGATCTGTAAAACCGAATTGTACAAACTGAATGGATTGGAGTTGTTGTTCCTATTACCTGGAGAATAAAGTTCTGTTTTAACAGCGGAAGTTACCGTATATGCCGGCGTATAAGACGACTTCCAGAAGCACTAAACTCGGCGGCAAAGATGGGGGTCGTCTTATACGCCGAGTCGTCTTATACGCCGGAAATACTGGTAGTTTCCGGCGTATAAGACGACGTTCTAGGAATGCAGCTTGGCGATAAAGACAGGGGTCATCTTATACGCCGGGTCGCCTAATACGCCAGCATATACGGTATTCATGGCCCCTTTGAGTTCATCTTCCCAGGCCTAATACTCTGTTCTCTGAATATGTGCTGGATAAGGAGGGCCAGTAGTAACAAGATGAACTTGTAAACTCGTAAATTACTTATTCTCCTTAAAATTGGACATCCTTCTGTATGAGTTTTAGCCTGAATTAGCTATTTTTAAAGAACATTTTGTGCCTTCTTTTTCAAGATTGTAGTCAAGGGACAGAATGGACTACGTGGTTCTGACTGAGCCAGTGAAGAAAGGTTTAGAAGCAATACTGCAGTTACCAGATTGTGTCTTACAAATGTAATAACATCTTTCCTTTCTCCATATAACATGAAGACTTCCAAGTAAAAAGCACAGGATAGTCACTATGTAGTTACCCATTAGTTAGAGGCATGCTATATATCAGGGGTGTCAAACTCAATTTCATTGAGGGCCGCATCAGCATTGCAGTTGCCCTCGGGTGTGTGTGTGTGTGTGTGTGTGTGTGTGTGTGTGTGTGTGTGTGTGGCCAGAGTGGGTGCAGCCTACTGGGTGGGCGTGGTTGGAGTGGGTGTGGCCTACTGGGTGGGCATGGCCAGCTCTACATCATTTGCGTCAAGGGTGCCTGTGGGGACCTGGGCAAGAGTGGGACAGATCTGAGGGTCTCTGGCAGAAGGGGGTGGGACCAGGGCAGAGCCCATCAAGCCGAATATGTGAAGTAGGCGAGGGCCATTTGCTGGCCACTTCCAGGTAATGGTGCATTTCTTCATTCCTCACAAAGGGTGACACCTTCCCAGCATGCACCCAGGGGCGGAACCAACACAGCAGGGGCTGGTTCCTCGCTGTTTCCAGACGGCCTTGTGGAGCTAAGACTGAATGCATTTCAGCATAGATGGCCACCAGAAAATTGTACATTGGCTCCCGGCCGGCCTGGGCCAGGGCCAAGGCAGTGGGGGCCATTCCATCACTGTTTCCAGGATAGCTTCGTGAACCACATGAAACCACTTTGTGGGTCGCATCCAGCCCCCGGGCCTTGTGTTTGACATGTCTGCTATATATCTTTGTGAGAAGGGAACAAGGAAGAAACAAGGAGTATTTAGAATGGAATAATGCTCAGACTTTATTTTAATAGGCCACTATCAATATATTCTGAAATATTTTTGAATCTGCTGCTTTTAACATTTAAGAAGACTTCCTTGATTATGTTAGGAACACTAGTGAAAATGTGCTTTTTTAAAAAAGAGTTTTCATAGAAGGATGATATTGATATGACTAGGAAGCATGTCCTGAAGATATAAAGGCACCAAATACGTATTCTGATTTTGTCTTACTACCATATAATATGTTGTCTTATTTTATATTTTGTTTGTTCTTGCTGTTTTGAATTTAGAAATAGTCCATTCGAAGCAGCATAGAAGCTTTAGAGGTAATCAGATATAATACCTAATTAAGTTATCAGGATTTTAGTAATCAGCATACTGCACTATATGTATATTTCTTATATTAATTAATGAATTTTTGCAAGTTATTGTAGGAGAAAGAAAGGTTAAAGCAAAACTATTTAATGTAAATTAATAAAATTATTCTTGAGAGAATAAAGAATTTTATTGCTGGAGTGCAAATATGCATTTCCACTTGCAAGTTAAAAGGATACAATCAAATTAGTTCTTTAAATGTTAATAGATTTTCTTGAAGCATGTGCCATGCTAATTGAATATGTTTACCTGCATGCAGTCGTTGCTACTGTAATGAAATTGTTATCAGTTCATAGGTCTTAATTCTTCTGGCAAAACAGTAAATTATATTTTCTTCCATCTGATAGAACTTTCTGCAGAAGCCAAAGCAGCATTACTTGAATTTGAAGAACGGGAAAGACAACTAAAACATGGGCGGTATGGATTCCGAAGAGGAGGAAGACGAGGCTTATTGATGTGTCATGGGCTGGGAGAACCAAGAAGAGACATCAATGAAAGAGGAAGAATGAAGGATCACAGGCCTGCTTTGCTACCAACGCAGACAGCTATGATGGTACTCTAAATGCAGAAGTGATGGCTGGGTGGAGGAATGCAAGTGGTGGAAGGCCTGCCTTAAGCTTTAACTGCTTAAATGAGTTCAGAGCCTTATTCTGAAGACTCTTAAACTCAGGGCAATTGGGATTTATCATCTGAAAAATCTGTTTTATTTTGCTTGTTTGTTTACGTATTATTTTTATCTCACCTTTATTATCTTTATGAGTAACTCAAGGTGGTGAGCATGTGTAATGCTCCTTCCTCCTCCAATTTTTCCCACAACAACACAACAACCCTATGAGGTGGGTTGGGCTGAGAGACTGACCCAAAGGCACCCAGCCAGCTTTCAAGCCTAAAGTGGGGCTAGAACTCACAGTCTTCCAGTTTCTAGACTGGTGCCTTAACCCCTACACTAAAATGGCTCTCTGGTTTTAAGATTTGTGATGATCCCATTTTTGATACTTCTTAGTAGTTCTGCAAAACACATGCAGTGCCAAAAACCTCTCTTGGATCATATCTGTGTACGGGGCATGCTTGACATGGTGGTATAAAATGATAAATAAGGGGAACAGTTTTTCATGTCCTAATTCCATCACGACAACAGAGGAATCTTGTTGATAAACATGGTTTAGAATGCTGAATTGTAGTACCTTCATATGTGCGAGAAGCTCGTACTGAGTTGTATCTAGGGATGAACTTACGTTCATTCCACCCATAGCCAAAGAATTTGGGTTTCTCCACTTTCATTTGTCTATTTGCCCAAGAAAAACTGAAGTTTCTAGGCAACCTATGAATATGAAGATATTATCAGTAGCCATGAATCTGCTTAACCCCATAAAAAACCTCTCCTGTATTCTTTATAGGGCAGTTTTTTTTAGATTTTCCAATTAATTTGTTAATTGTTTTGTTTTTAATTTCAGACACATTCAAACAGGCTATTTCATCATCCCATTCGGAATCTTTTCCAGCAGCAGCAGCAATCACAGCAACAGCTCCAGGGTCTGCTCCCTGTCCCCACTTCGCATCATACACCACCCCTCCCCCCCCAAGGAATCCGTATGCCATCCCAAGTGGACGCACCGAGGATACTGATGACTTCTCCTTCGGTGGCATCCCAGCAGCCAAAAAACATACACATAAATCCACACTTCAAAGGAACTGTAGTAACACCTGTTCAAGGTAGGAATCTTTTCAAAGAAAGTCTGGATAGGTTACGGGTATTACTACAATATGTAGTGAAAATGCCTATTGCTTAGAAGTTAAAGCACATTTTTGGATGTAAATATTTCTCATTTTTTAGAATCTCTTTGGAGGTACCACTGAGCAAGAGACAGAAGCCAAGGGAGTTACTGTGTTGATCATCATCAACCATGCTAATCAGTGTAGATCAGGGGTGTCAAACTGCCGGCCCGCGGGCTAGTTTCATCATACCGGAGCCACACCCACCCCATTGCCGGCAATGGCGAAAAAGCTCCGCTACGTTGCGTGACGTGACGTCGCGAGTTTGACATGCCTGATGTAGATCAAAGGTCTTACTTGGTATAGGTTGGCTTTTGATGTTATCTATATTTTTATAGCACTAGGTATTTCTATGTAGAATTCCTTAGCTTCATCCCCTGAAATTAGATGATGGGAAACTGGAACTGTAGAGAAAAAAAAAATGAAACAAATTTATTTAAATTTAAACCAAGAGTTGTGTTTTTTACACTGACATCATTAAAAGACAACTTGTCCCAAAGCTGTTTTTTCCTAAAAGGCAAAACTGGACTTTCTCTGGGTTCCCCTTCCTTTTTTTGAAAACATTTCACTTCTCATTCAAGAAGCTCCTCCAGTTCTGAAGAAGGTTCTTGGAAGGGAAGCAAAATGTTTTCAAAGGAAAAAACCAGGAAAGTCCAGTTGCCTTTTGGAAAAAGCAACCTCGGACAACTTTGACCTGGATTATTGAGAATCTCCAGAGACAAAGCAGCTTGTAATAATTATTTCTTTAATTCTTGATTTGTTTTCCCTACCATTTTTCTGTAACTGGTTACAGAAAATAAAGCAAATATTTTCTTTACAGAGAGTTCACATTGTCATGCTGAACCCCAAACAAAACTATATCATAGTCTGGCACAATGGGTAAAGGTTTAGTGAGGATTTGTTTTTGAAACAGAAAGAAATGAACGCCTGAAGCTTTGTCTAATGAGTTCAGAGATATGATTCATAAATTATAATCAAGCAAAACAGTAAGAAGCACCAGTTTAAGGTCTCTTAAGGTCTCTTGAGAGATAATTGTGGTGCAGAAAGAGTTTATTTCTAGAATAGTTATTTCAGTGCCACTTCTTCATACCTGCTTTTCTTTAGTTTTAAACTCCCTTTTCTCCTTTATTCCATTTGCAAAAATTTAAATCATTTGATTGCCTTATCTTAGGAGGTACCACACATTGTGAACAATAAGCCAATATAGAACATATTTGCTCAGGAATATATGTAACTGAGCTTAACTAGTCTGTATTTCCTAGTAAGCATACATAGTACTATAATGCATAATTGAATTAATGTGAATTAACCAATAGAAATTCGTGTAATATCTGAAATTTTGGAAAATCATGACATGCCTCTGATACCGTGCTGTCAAGATTTTGTCCCTCATTCAGCAAAGTGTGAAAAAAATATATTTCAAATTGCCTATGCCTTGTTTAATTTTGTAGCCTATGCCATCAGCATCCTAATTGCCCTGTTGCATGGTGTTAACACATTTTGTCTGCCTGCAGCTGTTGGGGAGAATGGGGCGGCAGCTGCCTGTGAATGTGGTTGCATATGAAAATGGCCCGGAGTCTTGGCTAAAACAAATTGATTTAAAAGGTGTGCTCCTTGTTTTTAGTGCCCTTGCTGCCAGTCCCAACCCAGCCAAGACCTGCTGTAGGACCCCAGAGATTTCCTGTGAGTAGCAGCTGTTCCTTCTTCTCTGATATGGATAAGCATACATTTGTAAAGAAATATTAATATGGCAAATAAAAGTGGTGCCAGTGAAATATAATTTTAAGGATTTGCAAATATTGACAATGATCTGTGAGCTAGAAAATTGTTTGTTAAAAGCTTAAAGGTCAATGAATTTTTCAGGCCTGAATTAATTTTGTTTTAATTGTAAAAACTTTCAGTGGGGAGTTTAAAAAAAAGCACACACTGGCTGGGTTTAAAATAATAAGGGCTCCATCCATCCATTAGAGTCCTTTCAGAATAAATAGAACTGCTTTTCTTTAATAAAAAGGAATCAAATGTTGCATATTTCTAATGTAAGTGTAAAGAATTTTATTATTTTTTCTTTTGTTGTATCTTTGATACCCAAAACTAATTTGCTACTGGTATCTATCATATCTTTTTTTTTTTTGTCCCAAACAGAGTGGCCAGGTGTTTTCCCCTATCTAATCTACTACACTTGGTTGATTTGCTTCTCAATGTCACTGAATATTCCCACTTCTCTTCCCATTCATATTTTTATAGTATGTAAATTTTCCAGTTTTTCCTCCAGCTTTGTATTCCTTCAGTTATGATTTCTTCAGACTGTGCATCAAGACACATAACAGGAATATTCAGTAATGTTGCTTTCATTCACCAGACTCCACATCACATTTCTAGAACCTTTTTAGCATTGGTAAAGCTAATAAATAATTCACACATTAGATTAACAATCAGAAATTGGGAATTATCTTTTAGAAATATGGGAATATATCCATGTATCATGGATATTATCACCAATGTATCATATTATAACCAAAAGTCTAGTGTATTTTATTGCTCTTTTTACTGTACACCACTTTTTAATTTCAAAAAATAATTAAACTGTTGTATGTGTGATGAGGTGATTTCTGTTCTAAATATCTGCAAATCCTTGGTATTTGTTATTTTGCAGGAGTAAATCAGAATTGTGAAGAATTCTAGTCTGGGAAGAATTCTAGTGTGGTAGTAGACGTTGTTTAATTGCTTTTTGTAGGTGCTTTATCACAGAAGGAGGGTAAATAAATGGTGCTCTCTATGATTCTCTCAGCCCTTGTGATCTGGGAAGTGCTTGTTAGAAGAAACCAGGCTCTCCTTTCGAGTTCATGCATAGTGCTAAATGAAACTCAGATGGAGCCTAAGGGTGTTCATCTGTAGAGAAAGGCACAAGCAGTTTTATTTGTGAAAAGCAAATATAAGTTATCATAATTTGTGAATTTTGATAGAATTAATTGTCTTTTACATCCATAATTGTTACACACTAGTCTTTATTTTTCCTAGAGAATGAACATATTTGAGATACAGGTCCTGTATATTTGATACTTGAAAGTGAGTCACAGAAAGTGCTTTTCCTCTCAAATCTTGATTTGATAGCTCAGTTTGTTACCTAAATTTGGAAAGGGTAAACCATTATTCCTTGAATCCAATCAGATTTTTATTTTACAGTGTTCCATATATAAAGTGAAGGAAAACTAGAAGAACTAAACAAGCCAGAAGTTCTCTAGATCATTTTCAAACATCTGGATCATTTCCAAACATCCTTCCTTCCTTCCTTCCTTCCTTCCTTCCTTCCTTCCTTCCTTCCTTCCTTCCTTCCCTCGCTCCCTCCCTCCCTCCCTCCACAGGTTACTCAAATCTAAATTGAGTCTGATCAGGATACAATTCCCATTGCTTAAAGTCAGGATAAACATCAGTCTGAGGGTTTGTAGCATGGGAAATGGTAGTGGAATTCTCTTCTGCAGATATAGCTACCTAAATCTGAATTAATTTGCGCCATGCGCACAAATTATTTCTTGTTGAGGAAGATACTCTTACTGATTAATGCAGACAATGATTGATTAGATTTCCTCTCCTCAGTTTAGCTAGTAGATCGCAAGTTATCTTCTGTTGGTTATCAAAATGGGGACAGAATGTGGTTGAAGAGTCATTTTCATGTATCAGGAAAGCTAAATAATTTGACCCAACTCAGTACACCAGTCCCGGCTCAGATGAATGTTTTTGTGAGATACAGCAAAGATGTATGAAGTTTTTACTTTCTAAAATGTAATACATGGACCATTTATGGTCATTGTGAATATGTATTAAGTGTCCTATCATTTGATAAAGGACAGCTGCTTACACACTTGTAATGGTTATTTATTTAAATCAGGGGTAGCCAATCTTGGCTCTCTTATGACTTGTGGACTTCAACTCCCAGAATTCCTGAGCCAGCTAAGCTGGCTCAGGAATTCTGGGAATTGAAGTCCACGAGTCATAAAAGAGCCCAGGTTGACTACCCCTGGTTTAAATGTTAGACATCAAGTGCAGAGGGGGGGGGGTGAGAAAAACTCTAGCCTGCTGCATGGCTGCCATAGCAATTGTGTTTTTGTTGTGGCGGGTGCTGTTAGAACAGCAGCAAATGTAAATGAAATTTTCACTCTATTACTGTGCAGCCGCACTGGCAAATTCCACCTGGCCTGGAAAGCGTTTTCCTTTCCTTTTAACATGATACAAGATACCAGGTGCTTGTGATTGACGTTTCTTGGATAGAGCTTTACACAGCATTTCATGCAAATCATGTTCGAATGAGACTGCTGAATCAAATTACATTTTCCCCCCTCCTATTATAGCCCCTGCAGATGTGCAACTGAGCTTTCCTGAGCATCTCTGGCAAGTTCTCTTTAGGAGGACCTGCCATTTTCACAACTTATCTACATAGTCCTATTATTAGTACCTTCACAATAGAACAGCAATGAGGGTTTTTCTCTTCCTGGTATCCAGAAGATCAACTGCTGTGGCTCCACCCCTCCTGCCTATGGTGTCAGTGTCAGGCTGGGAGAAGGGAAATGCAATTTACAGTGCAGGTGACATGATAACAAACATCTTCCATTTGCTGGGGAGCTTCTAATTAATCACTATTTCCATACATTATCACACTATCAAATTTAATCATATCAATGCATTCCCATCTGCCGGAGGAGCAGCAGAAGCTAAACATGATGATAACACTTATTAAGCTGGGGAGAGGGGCAGTATCTAAAATGAACTAGCTTTTTTTTCTTTTCTATCCTCAGCCCCCCCTCCCCCAATGGTGCTTTCGTAAATGGTAAAATCAAGCTAATGCCATGATTGTTCACTTTTTGATTTGATTTGAACATTCATAGGAAATAACCTTTTTTTTAAAAAAAAAACCGTAACAGGAAAAATACCCATTTTTAAAATATACACATCCCCAAATAGATGTATAAAATACTTGCTTAAAAATTCATGTGGATAGTAGTAGAATTGAGTATAATGTGCCTTTCTTACTTGTAGAAGATTTGGGGGGGAGGTCTTTTCCTTTAATCTTTAATCCCTTTAAACAAGGGCCTTCTGGCTGTAGGAAAGAGGCAGAATGAGTTTCAGTATACGGCTTGGTCAAGAAAAGGGGGGCAGTGTAGACGTCACAGAAGGAGACAGATCTTATGCATTGAAGTCAGTGATATGTGGATAAATTATAATCAAATAGAGAGCATCAGTTCTCAAAAGTTATTTTAAAGAAGAAAGCATCAGTGTCCATTTTGTCCCATTATTGCTGAATATTTGCTTGCTTAATTTTTATGCTATCCGATCTTAAAATAAGTGGCAGTCTGCAATTGTGAACATACACACAAAACAAAATTAAATACAATTAAAACGGGAGTAAATAAGAGTATAAAAATTGGTTAATTTTTTTTTTAAAAATGTGGGATTAGATTTTGGCCCCCTTTAAGTTGCTTTAGTTTTAACTGTTTTATGAAACACTGCCAAAGTCGGCAATAACCTTATCCCATAAGCTGGAAGTCATAACAGAAAGATTCCCTGACACCCCGCCCCCCAAAAAAAACCATGCTTCTTACACTCTGAAAATGGAGACAATAACCTTCCCAGTTGAGGTGAGCACATCAGACAGGATGGCTCCAATGAGAAAAGGTTGTCCTCCAGACATCTAGGAGGCAAGCTTCATAGAGCTTTTAAGAATGAAAATAGTACTTTGAGTTATAAACAGAGATGGTGCCTCTAGTCACAACTCTTGGGGGCAATCTGAGGTATGCTTTGTTTGATGATACTGAATGCAGCTAAATGATCAAATACAGCCAGGAGCAGGCTCACCTATGATCCTAAAACTAGGCGTCTACTGTGTTTTCGACAGATAATGCTTGATGAGTGTTAAATGCTGACAAATAAGAATATAGCAGTTCTCTATGTCCAGAAATCCTGGATAGTCATAAAACCTTTACCCCTTTCCTCTGCCTTCCGTGGTCCAAATATCCTCAGTTCCAAATTCTTAACATAGAACATTCTGATTATTGTTTTATAACTTAGCTAGTTACTGCTTTTTCTATCCCCAGCTTTCTAAAGGGATAACTCTCTTTGATCCAGGGACAATAATCTACGATAAATTATTGTTAAACTGGCATAGACTGATTCCATCAGTCCAAGAAGAAAATTCTTTTACTGGCTGTAATATCCAGCATTCCCCCCCTCCCCCGAAAATGGGCACTGGAAGGAGACTTGAGCAGCTTTGAGTGGATGGGATGGTTACCAAAAAGAGCAGCAGCTCCAGTAATGTAGATTTAGATTGTCCATAGATCAATTGTTTATCCTTGGCCTTGGCATAGCAGCCATTGGAATTCCCCCCCCCACAAAATTTAGAATTATATTTAGAGAGTACTTTTATTTCATAAAGGATAGCTTAAAGGCTTGCTCTGGCACTGATGATGTTACCTAGTTGGGTAATGAAACATCTCCAAAGAAACAATCAAGCTCAGCACCAAAGACCCTTAATTTCAACCTGAACTACAAATATTCTCCTTTAAATATATGTACTTCCAGACCTTGGGTCGCCCCCATCTCTCTTTTCCGCCATTGCATAATGCACAAAATTTCTGTATTTATTTTGCTTATTAGATTTGTATCCCACCAGTAGGAGCTTAAAGTGTCTTATG